TTTCCACCTCTACGTACAGACCAGCTACGGTGTACTGCTCCCAGGCCAGTTTCAACACTTCAAATTCTGCCCTTTTGCCGCCAGTTTCCAGCTCCAGTCTAATAATAAAAAAATATTTGTTTCAAGCAAAATATCATTACTTTGAACAGGTAACACGGTTCTTTCCATTGCTGCAATTGTTGGTAACGTAGATGATACTGATGCAACAACCAAATTTTAATCAGACTGCAAACCACTGTGGATGGATACCTTTGCTCGAGGCTCGACTTGCTCAAAAGTAGATGACTAAATACTTACTGCAATTCAGTGAGAAACTACTTGCAGGAATCTGAATATTCTGCAGACAGACCTGGTGTTTTCTTCATGATCTTGCTTTTAATTGTCGGCTTTTATGGTGAGTAAACTCCTTCCGTTGAAGTAACACAAAGAAAATAGATAGATGATATTGAAAGAGAAACAAATAAATTAAAAGAGAAGATAAAGATCGCATAAAAGATCAGTATTTAAGAACTCTTATATATCTTGATCCTCAGACTTGGCACTGGAATTGCTTCAACTTCATCAAGGTCTAGGTGCAGTAAAGTTATATGGTGGTGACTCTCTTTTGAGTGCAATGGCCGGAAAACCCTCTTCATTTCTAAGTGAAATGCAATTGAATTCTTGGTAAAGCCTCATGTCTCATTGTTAGTACACATCCACTCACACTCATTTCTTTCTCTTGTGTCATCTGTCCCAGTTGTATTTATTAATTTGCTGCGCTTATTAGCTACTCATCATTAAACATTCTTCCCTTTCAAAGAGCTTTGTTATGGTTTGGGAGACAGTTGATGTACCACTTTTCTTTTCTTTCTTTTGTGACATTTTAAGAATGTACTTCTGTTGTAGGTATGCCTGTAAAATTGAACTTCCCAGACCACAAAGTCACCATAAACAAATCTTATTTGTATAGAGGTATCAGTTATTATCTTACATCTTGTCAAAACTAATTGATTACATTTTAATTGAGATTTAGATAGTTTTTATAAGCTTTTATTGGCATTTGTTATGAATTTTTAATTTTAATCTCTTTTGAATAAAATCAATTTCATCCAGCTGGCCTAATGTTTCAAGCAGCACTATGGAGAACCCTTAAACTTTGTAATGAAACTCTGACCTGCTACTAAGACTTGCTATTACTTAATCCATAAGCAGTGAGTCATCATTGAGTTTGATTAACTAATTGAATGCAGTTCCAAAGACAAAGGAAATCGTGAGATGAAATTACTGCATCTTCAAACGCTTTAACTAGTCAAACACCAATGTTGGATAATGGGAAGAATAGATCATGCAAGAGCTTCCTCAATACTTAGACAACGGCTACTTTTAGCAGCAGAGTTAGGCATTCACGAAATTGTTGAAGAGATTATGTTGTCATTTCCTCATGCACTATGGTTTTCAGATTCGGAGAATCATAATGTATTTCAATTGGTAGTTATGTCTCGTGAAGAGAAGGTATTCAACCTCATCTTTCAAACCGGTGACTACAAATATTTGTTGTTAATTTCCGAAGACACTTCTGGGAGTAATATCTTGCACTTGGCTGGAAAATTGGCACCTCAACATTGACACAATCTCATCTCTGGTGCAGCTCTGCAAATGCAGCGTGAGTTACAAGGGATTAAGGTAACAATACTTTCTATTTTAAACATTAATATTTACTATTTACCGCTGCTTGAGCTCAAGAATTTCAGGATAGAAAATATATCATATCTAGTTATGAAAAAATTGAATTGTACTTATTCAGGAAGTGGAGAATATTGTTCAACCTGCCTACAAAGAGGATAAAAGTTCTCAAAAGGGAAAACACCTGCAATGGTGTTTACTGAGGACATAAGCAACTGGTTAAAGAAGGTGAGAAATGGTTGAAAGATACGGCATCCTCGTGCACAGTACCAGCAACACTTATTGCCACAGTTGTATTTGCAGCGGCAATCACCATACCCGGTGACACCAGCAATGAAAGTGTCCACCCAATTTTTTCCAAAGATAGAGCCTTGATAGTATTTGGCATTTCAGATGCACTTTCTCTGTTTTCATCGGTTGCTACCATCTTAATATTCTTGTCCATCCTCACTGCACGCTATGCTGAAGCTGATTTTCTTTACGCCTTGCCTAAGAGGTTAATATGGGGTCTTTTTATATTGTTCCTCTCCTTAACATCCATGATGGTTGCCTTGCAACAAGAAGGATTGGATACTCATTCCAGGGGCTGCTTTAGCCTGTTTGCCTGTGTCTCTTAGTGGACATTATCCGTTCCACATATAGGTACGGAGTATTTCGTAAGCAGAGCAAACGTATGTTTTACTAGTCTCTGTAAACCAAATAGACAATTTATCATCCAATAATTTATAATACTAGAGTTTGAGTAACGAATTTTGAATATGCAATGTAATATGTTAGTACAGGTTGAGTCATCATTTCAAAAAGACTGATTGGCAAATCCCATATCCATGTACTTAGAGTTAGAAGTTTATTAATGACAAAAATTGCATTATTTATCTCGCTAAAAATCTAATTTGCGTTATCTTTATTCCTTTGTTTTAAATAGGTTGCTGCATTTGAGAATATCAAATAATTAAAACGTATAAGCTAGGGCATTGATGCAAAATGCTCTTGTTATTACAATAATTTTACGGCGTTTAACATACTTGAGAGTTCTTCAAAGGCCAAAGTTCTTACATATTGAATGGGTCAAAAAACGAATTGGACTTAAGAGGTCCAATAACGAAGTAAATATATTACAACCCAGTGCCTTAACCTAATTTCAGTTGGACTATGCTTAAATTCACCTTGTATATTGATCACCCTGTGAGGTGGACTTTTCTACAAGTTAAGCTAAAATCGAGCTCCAGCCCATCAACCCACATTCGTTTCAAAATAAGAATCAGAATCCCATTTACTTTCCACTTCAGTTAAGATCCAAGATCTTACTCGAATTGATAATCCTAATCCAATAACGGCAAGTAACAAGACTTCCTTACTACTTCAAACTCCTCCACCAAGTAGAACTCACTAGGACTCAAACTCTCTCGGACTCCTATATAAACAGAGGTCAATATAAACAAAGATCAAGCTTCTTATTATGAATTAAAAAATCACTCATAACTTTAGTTCCTAAATTCTTGCTCCTCAACCGAGCTGACTTGAGCGTCAGAGTGTTTACGGCAGACACCACATCGGTGTTACATGAGCCTTCACGTTTGTCCCTGATTATCAATGGCTTGTTTCACACAAGATTCGTCCCTTCCAAATTAACCGTAGATTTTACCGTATACACATATGAATCCAACTTATCTTTTTCTTGAGAAGGATTGAGTGGAAGAGCCACAGAGAAGCCACCTCTCTCTTTTCTTTCTTGTCTCATTCTTGAGGAGGATAGAGTGGAAGAGCCACAAAGAAGCCACGTCTCTCTTTTCTTTCTTGTACTTGGACCGCTTCACTAAACATTAGACGCCCATCTTGTGTTGACCTGGTTCCAAACCCAACAGTACTTGTGATGTATTTTGTATTGGCTTGGGTTCCTATCCCTACGATCAATGTTCTGAAAATTGGACTAGACTACGACCCGTTTAAAGGTCTAGTTTCTAGTTTGAACAGTTTGACTGATTGGATCGGTCGGTTGGACCGTTTTCTGTAAAAAAAAATTAGTCCCTAAATGTTTGAAATTCATCAAAAACACCCCTACAAAACTCCCTTAAGGTTTGAAATCTATCCAAAACACCCCTTCACGCGAAGAGACTGGTGATGGTGGCGGCAGCAACGATCGATGGCCAATCGAGGTTTGCAATCATGGGGCTTTTGAAGAATACGTGCCGACAAATCTGATGGTGGTGCTAGGGAGTTCCATCGGCGCCGGAAATCATCGGAATCAACAAAAGAAGTCCGACGGTCACGTGAAGTTCAAGTGGACGGCGAGCGATGATGGCTGGACGACGTCCATTGAAAATTTTAGGGTTTTGTAGTGGAGATGCCGTCAAGTCTAATGGCGGTGTTTTCTCCCTCGATCGATGCCAGAATCCGACGGGATTCAGCTGCTATTGGACAGTGATTCGACACTATTCCGACGGCCCAACCGCGGTCCAATCCGGTTTAAATGCAATTAACGGTTTTTGAAGTATTCGGGACCGGAAATGCTGCCGGTTACCGGTCGAACCGGTTCGACCGAGCAGTTCGGTCTGGTTTTCAGAACATTGCCTACGATAACAATACTAAATCAATCAGAAACAAAATCACAAAGCAAAAAGCACACACGGTTCATTCTCAATGTGAGAATTGTGGCCACTTTTGCTGCTGCAAATTTTCACTATAACAAATCTGCAACTTTGCCGATTTTAACTTTTAGTTTCACTTTATTTTCAAGTAGCTTCTTAATATAAAACAAATAGATTCATATTCATCTAATATTAGAAATGTATTATGCCTTCACAAATCATTTACTTTAAATCCATGATCAGGATGTTAGTCTGTTCATGATTGACTGGATTCAGTGATGCTTCTGATGCGAATTATTATATCACTCTCATATGATTTTTCTCACTCCAATTGCTCCTATCACCCCCAGCTTCTGCTTCCCAAGTTGCTAAGAATTGCCAGTCTGGTTTTTCTTTTCATCATTTAATGGCTATTGATTTTAATTCTCTTGAATCTTAGATTCATTGAACACTTATTATTACTTTTTCAGCGTGCAATCTCTTTATTTGAGGACTCAATTTCCAACTTTCATTTGAAGCAGCTTTTAGGAATAATTTTCACAAGCTTTTACTAATCACTTTCCACGAATATTCCGTATAGATTACTATCCAATGAATAATACTATACTTACACAAACTTTTTCTACATTATTATACAGATTAGTAATATTCAGTATTCGACAATCTTCATGTACAAATATCTCATTTTCTCATACCAGAAAAAAGTAAGAAAAAAAATTAGAAAAAAGAAAAAAAGGACGACAGTGATGGTTTCTGTTGAACTATTCAATCTTTATAGAAATCAAGTCTATTCTCGAAAATTTGGTATTACAACAATCCCAAAAGAGAAGTAAAAGCTGGACCAGCCTTGACAAATATTATTAGTGAAGGCCAGAAAATTAAACCACATTTACAAATGGAGTAACTACATTGATACAATTGAATTTTCATACATGATCACATCTAAATGATTGCTATCTATGGGTTTCCACTCCCCCAATTTGGTTTTCATGTAAGCATAACATTAATCTACATTCTTCACGTACACTTGTTTCATTTCTTCATGGAGTACGAAAGAAAATAAAAACAATTCAACAATGTGTGTTGAATGAACTTTTTATATCTTTATGCACAGCAAGTCAGTCTGCTCTAAGAATTGAGAGCTTCCCATTCCAACCATCTCATATGAATGTGACAGCTGTATCAGCCATTTACCAATATCAGGGAAGACCATGAAATGAAACCATTAGTAAAAGTTGAGTTGCCACAAAAGTATTACCTCGAAACCCATCTTTTCATACAGTTCCAGAGCAGGTTTGTTATTTCTATGCACATGCACATATAACCGATCCACATCTGCAACCCAAAAGACAGGTCAGGAGGACGCCTTAGCTGTCTTTTATTTTCTGCAGAGTTCATATGTTTATAAAGCGAAGATATTTGTTTCATTTTACCATTAGATTTGGCTGATTCGATGGTAAAATGCAACATGTTTCTCGCAATACCCTGGCGACGTGCTGATTTGGCTACACATAAATTTGCAATATAACCATATCTATTTGGGTCTGTTTTGTTAATGCAGCCAAACAGAGGAGCCATTACCCGTTCCTGTGTGAGAAGAATTTAACTTAACTTCATTAGCAGATTGGAAATTTACAGGGTTAGTAATGGTGAGAGGTAGGATTAGCACTTTGCATGTAACAAAAGGCACATACCCCAGGATAGGTCTCTCCATGCAACAGATACCGGATGCTCAAATCAAGTGTTCCAACTACACTTTTCAGAATGGTGCGTTTTACATTCCTCTCCTCCTTCTTAACCTGTCAAATTTCAAAGAATTTTATGAAGCTCCATTATATTAACAACTCCTAACCAATGGTGATTCAACTTTCCTTTTTTCTAAGTCATAACAAGGAGAAATTAAGAGGATCTGATTAAATCAACCTTAGAGCTTGAACATGTTTAAAAGTAAAAGAAAAATAAAGCCTAAAATCCAAACAAACATCATACCGTGACAATGCACAAGTATTTCTGCCAATGCTGCCCTCTGCATCGCCGTTTTATGGCATTGAACTCCTACACAATAAGAAGAGCTACTAACCACTTAACTCATTATAAATAATCAGTGCATTTCACTGAACAATGAAAGCAAACTGACACTCAATCCTACCTGCTCTGCAAATTTCCTTTTGTAGTTATCAACATATCTGTGTTAACCAGGGATAGTTAAAGTTAGTCATACGAAACTCTTCCACCCATATAAATGAACATATCTATTTAACTCATCAAGGCTGCAAGCATATAGAATAGTAGGACTTGCAGTCGCCACTGGCAAAATCTCATCATGGTATCATCTATAAAACCTTGTTAATTTTTAAAAAAAAAAAAAAAAAAAAAAAAAGTTTGAAACTATTCCTTGTACAACCTCTCTGTCCTTAGTAGTTAGTATGATCTCATTACATCAAATTCGCACAAAACTGCTCTCTATAAAATTTCAAGAAATTCTTAAAATAGGTGCATTACATGCATACAGATTATAGTAATAACTGCCTGGTAATCACTACAATACCAAAATAAAGACAATTATGTGCCCTGACATGATTAATAAGCCTAATTGGAACTCATCATAAACTAATTATAACAAAATGACCGAAAATATATATCTAAAAGCCATGGTGCATAGAACGTGATACGCACCGTTCGTTTGTTTGGTCTTCCCAGTGACTTTCAGCTCGTAGCCATGCTGCTGTCTACCACATAATCAAAACACCACAAATTACTTGCCAACTCGAAACAAAGAAACGCCTCAAGCATTATTAAGTAATCACTGACCTACCCAATATTCTTCATCGAGAACAGCTTCTCGCGCCACGAATTTCCCAAATTGAAATCTGTCTTGATCCACCAACTCTTGATCGGATGGCTGAAGCCGGTCAAACTTCAGATCAGACGGTCTTAACGTTTCCAATTGAGGAACCAACGGTCTCTGCAGCTGTATTGAAAGATCTTGCTTTTCAGTCGAACCAGAAGATTTAGAATCCATTGTCCGGTAAAAAAAAACAAAAAAATCATAATAATAATAAGGATTGTGATCAAGAAAACCTAATTTTAAGAGAAAAAAAAAAAAAAAAAAAAAAGAGAAGAAGAAAGAACCTTACATATTCCAAACGGTAAAAATTCTGTAAATTTGCGATGATTTCGAAATCCATCGTGGGTATTTTAAGGAATTGAGGCCTGTGAACCAAAACTGTTGCATTTGAGTCGGAGTGTGCAAATTTAGGTGAAGGAGAGAGAAAAAACCTTATTCTAGAAAATTTATTAAAAAGAAAACGTATCTGAAGAGGCTTGAGAGAAAAATTCCTGTCATGAAAAAAATCAATCAAATGATGAGATTTCAAGACAGGAAATTTTTATTTTTATTTTTGGGTTGTTGTTCCGTGAAACATAAACATTGCGTGAATAAAATAATAAACTGAATGGCTGTCACGGGTCGGCGATAAAAAGGAAAAGAGGATAAGTCAAATGATTATTACACACCCTTCTAAGCCTTCTTTTAGGGATATTGATGTTGGACTATGTAAATATAATCCATTATCCACCCAAGATTGAATTTGTTTACCGCGTCATCTGTTAGACGTTGCATATCTCGGTCGGACCCACTGGTTACTGCATGTGGTAGAAGGCAAAGATGAACACAGTTGGGGATATGGTTGTTAGAGAAAAATGTGGTAACGTGGGGACTTGGGACTTGTTTGAAAAGAATATCAGTCCAGTAACAATCAAATCGATGGAAAACAATGCATTATATAATATAGACAACAAGAATGTGAAAGCAATATATGAGACCAAAATAGCCTCAAGAAGAGGTAAGTGAGTGATTTCTGAACAAAAAGAGAAATGAGATTTCAAGCCCAGTAACAAAAAGAGAAATTCCTAATTCACCAACATTAAAGGAAACATACTGTCTATAGAGTGTGAGTCAAAACAATTACAATTGAGATTTCGTCTAAAAGTGATTACAAAAGTCTCACTATTAAATCACCACGGATGATAAAAGAACAAAATGTTTAATATAAGTTTTTAAGTTCGAATCCCTAAGCCACTAATAGAGGTTTCAGTGAGGCGATTTACTCTATTAGTGTTTCTAAAAATTAAGAGATACACGCAAATTGATTCAAACACTTTTGGTCACAAAAAAAAAAAAAAAAAAAAAAAGAAAAAAAAGAATTTTTTGTTCATTTTTTTAACTCCCATTTCAGTAAATCTTTTTCTTTTTCTTTAGATAGACAAATCATGACATTGGAAGTAAATAATTTAGAAAATTAATGATATTAAATCAAGCTTAGAAATTATTATTTAACAACTACAATGCACAAAGAAAGCTGAAAAAAAACTCAATTCGCAACTCAAGGCTATAATACAAATCAACTGGCCACCTCCGTAATGACCTAATTAAGAAGAAAAGCAACAAGAAGCGCTTATATTTTTACATTATCTAAGAGATAATAATATGACCAAATGGTGGTTTTGGTTTATATTATTTAGCCTTCAAAATCAGTTTTCACCCACTGCCCATACTTGCTCTTCATTTTCTCATCCAACTCTTTGGCTTTAGTTTCTGCAATCTTGGTTGCATTGGCCATGGATTCCTCTTGTACTTGAGCAATCCTCCTACTCCTCTTCCTCGCCATCGCCTCTCTCTCCGCTTCTATTTCTTCGTACTCTCTCACCCAACAGCTATAAATAACACAGCTCAACACCAACACCAACAGCTGAATCAGAAACATTGCCATCAAAATCCCAGATTCTAATCTCACCAAAACCTTTGCCTCTTTGGGATCCCTTGGTGACTTGAGCATCGAAATGCTTGATCTTTCTCTAGTGAATAAGGCCAATATGCTCAGTAATTGCCCGATCACCGAGGCGAGGAGAAGCGAAACATGGGTTATAAAACAGAAGTGAGTAAGCTGAGAGTAGAAACCCACAAAAGATGAGAGCAGTGAGATGCAAGAGACCGTGAGGAGTGCCATACCAAAAGAAGTAGGCGGCATTTTGATTAGAATAATTGGAGCTAGAGAAGCTGCAGAGAGGATGAAGAGAGTAAAGTTCAAACAAGAGAGGAGAAGGTTTGGGAAGGAACATGAGCTTCTAAGCTTTGAGGAAGTCATTTCTAGATTGTTGGAAGAAGCTCGAGTTGTTTCAGATGGGTTTTGGATTGGAGAATGAATGGCAATTTGAAATTATATAGCCAGGATGATTTTCATTTTGCCGTTGGAGACTCCAACGGCTAGGTTTGAGAGGGTCCACTTTTTTTACACTGATTGATGAACCATTCATATATTCCCTCCACCTAGTTTTAAAGTAAACTTAAAAGCTGAGCTGCCGTTTAAATTTTGAAGCAGCCACTTAACAGTAGCCATGATTGCTGACCAGTGAGGCCCATTTTTGTATTGCCAAATGCCAATTGCCAATCCGTTGGTAATATTGTGATTAACTTACATATTACGGTTCATTAAACCATTGCAAACGTCAGGTCATAGCTATGAATCACAAGGAGCGACTATTCGCATTGTGATTTACCAGCATAACTAATCAAAGATTTGCTATAAACATGCATAGACTCGTCCAATTATCTACCGGCCGCCTCCCTCCTTTCAACAAACAGTTCTGTGGAGTTGGCGGTAACACATGTTCTTGGTTTTTTGGTTCCATCTGGTTGCTTTGATTTGGACGTTTAAATTACATCAATTAATCTCTTTTGATAACTAGGTATTGCCAGCTTATTTAATGGATGTTATCATACTGGAAGCAGAACCTCCTCAAGATCTACAGAATGATTTTGAAGGCCAAAGTGTGATGCAAATATCAGTAAAACTTAGCTTTTACATCAACTTAAGAGCAAACAGAAACCAATGAGAAGATAAATGGAAACATGGACCAGCTATAGCAATCATCACTGAACTTTATTAAAGCCAACTACATACATGAACCCAATCCACTTTCAATTTGAAGAGAACGAAGACGAGCTCTTATCCACATATGTGCACGGCGATAATGACTATTTAGTCCCATCTTGAACATCATCAGGCCATCACTAATCACTGTACTCCATTCCAAAGTCCAAACGACCTACGAATTCTGACATGCAGTTGCACCTTCCCAATTTCAGGCAAATAGTGGTAGTTTCTGAAAGAAAGAATTATCATGTCAATGACTAATATATACTTCAATGGCTTAGATAAATAAAAAAACATCTGATCTGGAATGCAAGAAATTATTAACAGAAAATCTAAAGTTACAGAAATCTGGGAGCTTCAAGTATCACTCATATCCTAAAAATTTGTACTTAAGGACCTCGACAACCAATACTAAGTTCAAACTTCAAAGATATGTCTACCTGATTTTTTGAGAAGTATCATGACGTATGGGTAAGAATAGCCTCAACTCTGTCTAGCGATGCTTGCAATTTTCCCGAGTTCATGTTGAATAATGGTTCACCAGTACCTAGTGCCCTGTTAATTTCGAGGTTTCAAGTTTCAACCATCAGCTATACAAAATGTATGTAAAGCAATGATATCTTGCATACAGAAAAGCGTTTTCTTCTTCTTCTTCTTCTTCTTCTTTTCAAAAAAAAAAAAAGACTAGATACATGACTGAATAAACAAACAAAAAAAGAAATAAATAAGTCACTATAGATTGCAGAACAAGAGTTGGCAGTCACATAAACCATCCAAGTAATAAGTGATTTTGATATCTAATTAAATTAAAAAATTTAAATACAAGTTCATAGCTTCAAGAATTCTTCAGTGGTAACTGTATTGAAGATTAAGGAACTTGCCCAGTAATCTCTGGAAGAACATAATCTGCCTTCCAACCGAACCGCAAATCAACACCAGGGCATAAGCCAAGAGATGTCTTATTCTGGATCCGAGATATTCCATCTCCACCCAAACATGTAGTGATTTTCCATTTCCACCCAGTTGCATGCAATTGAAAATTATGGCCTATACCGACCTGTAATTTTACAAGAGTTTGATCATTGCTCCAAAATTTTGCATAGACCTCGGTTGAACAAGCAGTAAAGTTACCTGTACCACTAGTTAAAATTTGCATAAATCATGCAGAACATGATATTAAATATAAAATTCTATCTCGTCCTAGGACAGGAGAGCTTTAGAAAAAAGATCAAGACAGAATGTCAACCTGGAGATTCAGAAATTTTGTGACAGGGATCTTTTTTGAAAGAATTCGCACATCTTGATGTACAGGTTCATATATGAACTTCCACCTACGATCGGGGGCCAGAGGCTTCAGTACGATCTTTGCTTGGTAATCATTGACTGGAGCATTATAGAACTGAACCAAAATTATGAGCAAAATATATCACAATTGAAACAGCAACAAACAATGATTATTACATTGTAAAATATCTATCGTAAATTAAAGCAACATCTACAATATGGATGCCACTTCATGAATTCAAGCGTCTTATCTATGGAACTGCTGTGACTGCTTGTCAAGGAGTCAAATTCATCCACCAGATCTAAGGAGATAGTACTGTTTCAGCATTTAAGCCACATAATTCCCATTTCTATGAAGAGGGATATTCAGGACATCAAACATTCTACTCTGATATTAGTACTTGATCACTTAACTGCATTTAGTTTATTTATCACATTAAGGTACACCAGAAACTTCACTTGAACCAACTATAAGCTCCCCTCTTTATTTGTTTTCTGATGAAAGTACTGGCCAACATATATCCAACAGAAATAACATCCAAGGTATGTCCAGTAAAAATCAATACACAGCACAGACAGTGACATTTCCATTTATCATGCCTATGCTCACATTACTAAGCTCCGCTTATATTTTTGTATCAAGTGATAAAGAGATAGCAAAATGTAAATTGGTACTGCACAAGAACAAACACATAGAGCAGATATTATGGTTAAACAAGGAAAAGTTGGATCCTTATATGAAAGCCAGCAGTACCTTATTGCATCGCAATGCCTGAGGACATGATCTAATAGATCATTGTATCAAGTAGTTGGATCATAGTACACAACTGAAGATCAACACTCACACAAAACAAGCCATACATTGAGATGTCATACTCTCTGTTATTATTCCCAACTGCATATAACAAGTGAATCTATCTCACCAATACAACATGATACATCACATTATTGCCATTGACAACCTTATGATTGTTAAAGAATTAAATTATCTCAAACCAGAATAAGAACAACAAACAATAAAACTGACCAATCTTCTATTGACTGATACACCATTTTTCAAATTTCGAGCAAAAGGATCAGAAAAATTTCATATGGAAAACCGAAATGAGAATTTTCAGTGTCTCCTTTTAGTTCTCAACTCTCATAAACAGAAACCAACCAACAAAAATCAAGATTAAAACAACTTCCTCCACCTGTAGTAACCGCTGTAACCTATTATTCTCCACAAGTTTGTCTCGATACTTTAGATGGCAAACAAAAATTTAGCTAATTAAAAAGTTTAAATAGCATAAAACTTAAAAAAAAAAAAAAAAAAAAAAAACTGTAAAAGCCAAAGAAAAGAACCTCTAAATTGACGCCAACTCGTAACCCCTCGACTTCTTTTCTGAACTTGAGAAACAGCTCCGAAGGTATCAAATTTAAACTGTAAAGCTCGTCCCACGAAGTGGGTTCCTCTCCATTCGGACCCGTATCCATTCTTCAGCAACCAAAACTGCAAAAATCAATAAACTTAGTAAATCAAAAAATACAAATAATAGAACCAAGTCATGTTTTATTTAACAAAACTTAACACTAGAATTGTGTGCGTTTGTGAGCCACGTGCCGTAAATAGGTTTAATTTAGTCTAATACAATATACGTATAAAGGTCTTTACTGGTGCCCGTGCCGGTGCCCGTGCCCGTGCTGGCTTAGCTCTGAGTTCCGATGAGAAGATTTTAGAAGACGACTCGGTGGTGGTACTCTGGTACCCAACTCCTACTGATATTTTTCGAAATTTATTAATGCGTTTATTAATATTATAAATAATGCAAAATTGTTTTATTTACAAGATATATTTTTGTGTGTTGACAGTTTTCGTTAATAATTTTTTTTTTTTTTTTTTTGGGGGGGTAATTTTTTCGTTAATGTTATTGATAGTGTAAATGTTTCTTCACTTAAAACAATAATGTAACATAAGTAAATGTTATTTTAGTTTTTTGCATATTGTTTAGAAGGATTGCAGTGTAAATTATATTTAAATTATAAAAATAAAAAATAACCGGTTAAAATTAATTAATATCTGAAGTATTGACAATTTAATTTATAATTATTATCTTATTTGAAATTCTCTCAAGGGATTAGGCCAATTTGTATTCAAATCAGCTAATCAATCAAGCCAAGAAATTCTCTAATTGAAAACATTAGATGTGAAAATTTTGTGAAATCTAGTTGGCCAATAAGGTTTTTATGCCTGAGAAAGTACGGCTGACACCGAGCCTTGTCAGCATGGGTGGTTGAAGCTTACGAAGGTTCTACATCCACTCAGATGCGGCCACGTCGCATGATGACGCGAGCAACATGCTCTTGCTAGTGTAGTGGGTATGCACCAGGTTGGCGAAAAGCTAGAAAAGGTCCATGTATCCAATCCCTGCACAGGTCGAGGAAATCAGTCGGGCAGGTGAGTAATGAGACGCAGAGAAGGATTTACACGACATCTGCCCCACTCACAGATTTAGTAATCATTACCTTAATTCATTCCACTATAAATAGAGGGCTCCTCTCCCGTTTGTGGGATTGACTACTTTTTCTCTGAAATAGAATACACACTCTCTCTCTCCCTATTGTATTTCTTAAGCTATAAATCAGCTCGCTGAACGCGACTTGACTTCATTCATTAATACAATATCAGTGGACGTAGGATTCGCTTGTTTAAGCATCCAAACCACTTTAAACATTGTTCTTCATCCCTTACTCAATCAAACACCCCCATAACCACGTCTGACTTTTGAGTCCACTCAGCATTTCCCACATGCGAATAGTTTGTGTAAAAATCACGCATCAACAGTTTGGCGCTAGAAGGAGGGCCTGATTTAGTACTTGTTCTTCATCAGGAGAATCTCTGAAGAATCAGTCCCACTACAACAAATGGCTTGCGGATTTGAATCTGGGCGAACCAATTATGGTGACAAAGAGATCTTTCAGGTGCAAGAGGACACTTCTCCTGAGGTGCCTTCAGCCCCGCAAAATATCATGAGGATATCCCTTCAAGCTCGCAGCTTGATCCAGTCGTCATGAGTTACCTGGAGAGATTCAACAATACTCTCCAAACGGTCAGCCAAAGGCTGGACTGGTTGGATCGGGTCGTACCACCTGAATCAAATGAGGAGGTAAAACAGCAAAAAAGGCCTGCATGTTGCATAAAAGCGCGGAAAAAGGCAAAAGCCCATAACGCGCGCATTGCAGCGGATCAAAGAAAGGGAAAGCAAGTGGCACACAGCGGACCTAGAGGCTTCGAGGGACCAACAAACACCGATCGTGCCCCAGGTAGAATACTCATGGTATTGAGGCTCGGTGATATGTCGCGGCCTGAGTCGTCTCGTGCCACGTCGCACGAGTACTCCCACAAAAGTGCAAGGCGGGGAGATTCCCATTATCACCAAAATGACGACTTCGATCGTCGTTGCGTGGGAAGTTCCTACCGTTCGCGGGTCGGTTCACACCACCACAGAGGTCAGGAAGGTTTCCCAAACCATTAAGCGTCATCACACGACTTTAGCCAACATGTGTCGAGATTGGTCGGGACCGCCGGCCGAGGCGAGGAGGAATTCGACCTATGATCTTTCCTCAACTGCAACCGTGAGGGTCGAACCCATATCGTGGAAAGCGATCCCCAGATGGCTTTGCTGCCTCAAATTGAGGAACTACAACGAGCCTTGAATCAGTTAAAGGCTCAGCGAAATGAGCAAGGGCAGGTTATAGAGGCGTCTCCCTTTTCTCCGACAGTGTTAGCCGCCCCTCTCCTGTCAAGATTCAGAATGCCTGACATGCGAGCATTCGATGGGAATTTCGATTCGCAGGATCATCTGTACGAGTTCAACGACCTCATGGAACTCTACCAAGTCTCTAACTTGGCAAAATACCGTTGCTTGGCAGTAACTCTTACTTCTCATGCCAAGCGATGGTTTAGGTCGTTCCCAGCAAGATCAGTCCGCTCGTGGCCTCAGATGAGCTTGACATTTCTGAGACACTTCTAGGCAAACAAGCAGTTCTCGATGCCTCTAAGCTATCTCAACAACATAAGGCAAAAGACGGATAAGCCCCTCCAATCTTATATTGACAGATTCCATAGGGAGCTCCATAAGGTAGCTCACACTCTCGAAGAGTCCATTCAGACTCTCATCATCGTGGGAGTTCATCCACAAACAGATCTGTGGAAAGAGCTGCAATTTGAGGACGATGTTTCCCTCACCCGTTTCTACAGCCTTACGGAGAAGTACCTCCGCATTAAAAACTCTGTGGCGGCCCTCAACCTCCACGACCCCGGTACTTTAGGCAGTGCGCTTGGTCGGGGAGAGAATAGGAGGGCTGATCGCAGATGGTCTAATGACGATCAGCGAAAAGGAAAGAAGCAGTGGTATGAGTCCAATAAATCTTATGCCCTAGTTCCTTGTCGCGATCGCGACAAGAGTTAGTACACTCCTCTGAATGCATCGGTCTCTGCTGTATCATTGCTATCATCGGGATAATGGGCATCACACCGATGAGTTTCGAGCCCTCAAGCAAGCAATTGAAGACTTCATCAAGCTGGAGCACTTCAAAGAGTACATTGATGACTCTACTCCCGTACAGGAGAAAAACCAAGAGGAACCAGGCAAGAAGCGTCGTGGTCGCAAGGGTATCTACAGTGTAGGGATCATCTTTGGGGGACCACACCTCGCAGGGAATTCGCGAGGTACCCAAGAAAGGTATGCTCGCGCAACTCATCATGGCCCTATCAGTGTAATGAATACGACACTGCAACCATATAAAGTTCACAGAGATGAGGAAATCACATTCTCCGAGAAAGACGTAATTCGATTGCATCATCCCCATGACGATGCTCTCCTCATCATGCCCCAAATAGGGAGAAGCGCCGTGAACATCTTGTTCCTGCGAGCTTTCGAAAGAATGAATCTGGATGAGGCTGATCTGAAGCCTGCCTCCATTCCGTTATATGGTTTCACCGGGGATCATCTGATCCCCAAAGGGACGATCTCACTCCCGATCACATTGGGTGACTCCAACGAGGTGACCAATATTACTAAGTTTCTAGTAGTGGACTATCTGTCCGCTTTTAATGGCATCCTGAGACGACATCTACTAAGAAACTTCAAAGTAGTCACCTCTATCTACCATTTGAAGATGAAGTTCCATACCCCGATGGGGATAGGGAAAGTTAGTGGATCTCAACGCGCATCTCGCGACTGCTATGTAAGGGCAGTGTAGATGGCGTGTAAGGGAAAAGGTAGTCCATTGGGCATCCCTAAACATGTAATGACGATCAGCTGAATCGAACCACAGCCTGGTCCAGCTGAGGATAACGTGGATCCTCGTATCTCGGAATGCTCTTCCAGTGGGTCGGTTGAGAATATATCTGAAGTATCAGTTGATCAGAGTGAGCCAAGCTGGGTGTTAAGAATTAGAAGCAATCTCAACCCCCAGCTCGCTAGCGACCTGACTAGCTTCCTCAAAGAAAATATCGATGTGTTCGCATGGACTCATGCCGACATGATCGGGATCAGCCCAAATATCATTTGCCATGCCTTGAACATCGATAGTGAGGCCAGGCCAGTCCGCTAGAAGAGATGAGCAATGGATCCAGAGTGATATGCTGCCTTGAAAGTTGATGTAGATAATCTCCTTCTGAATGGATCCATCCGAGCGGCGCTTTACCCAAGCTAGGTTGCCAACCCGGTTTTGGTAAAGAAACCCAACGGTAAATGTCAGACCTGTATTGACTTCACCGACTTTAACAAAGCATGTCCGAAAGACAGCTTTTCCTTGCCAAAGATTGATCAGCTCGTTGATGCCACCTCCGAGCACGAGCTGCTTAGTTTTATGGACACCTACTCGGGATACAATCAAATTCTCATGTACGCGTCATATGAAGAGCATACCTTTTTTGTTACAGATCGGGGGTTGTATTGTTACAGGGTTATGCCCTTCAACCTAAAAAATGCTGGACCAACTTACCAGCGGCTAGTTAACTGAATATTTTCCGAGCAGATCAGGAAATCGATGGATGTCTATGTTGATGACATGCTAGTCAAATCACATGTCGCTTCAAATCACATAGCACATCTCACTAAGATGTTCGGCATACTCCGAAAGTACAAAATGAAGCTCAATCCTCTCAAATACTCATTCTGAGTATCCTCAGGAAAATTCCTAGGGTACATGGTTAATCAGAGGGGAATAAAGATCAACTCCAAAAAAATCCAAGCTCTCCTCGATATGGAAAGCCCGACCAACCGAAAACAGGTTCAAAGTCTAAATAGACGAATAGCGGCACTCAGTCGCTTCATATCGAAGGCAACAGATTGCTGCTTGCCATTCTTTAATATACTCAGGGCCAACAAGAAATTTGAATGGACTCCCGAGTGCGAACAGGCATTCCAGAGTATTAAAGAGCATCTCAGAAAGCCACCTCTCCTGTCCAAGCCTCTCCCGCAAGAAATTCTTTTTCTATATCTGTCCGTCTCTCAATATGCGGTCAGTGCAGCTTTAGTCCGAGAGGAGAACAGGGTCCAATGGCCAGTATATTACACGAGCAAGCATCTACTGGACGCCGAGATGCGGTATCCGAAAATGGAGCGATTGGCTTATGCCCTGCTGATCGCTTCCAAAAAGTTGCGACCTTACTTCCATGCCCACACAATCTATGTATTGACCAATTACCCGCTTAAGCAAGTCCTTCAGAAACTAGAGGCTTCGGGTAAGTTACTCATATGGGCCATGGAACTAAGTCAGTTCGATCTGCAGTACAGACCGAAAGCAACCATCAAAGGGCATGTTGTTGCTGATTTCATCTCAGAGTTCTCATATCAACCGGTTAAGGAATCCAAGCAACAGGCCAGCGAAGTCACCGAGGAAACAGTCTAAAATCTATTGACCTAGAGCCTCTACGTCGATGGATCGTCGAACAGGAAAAGGACCGGAGCATGCCTCATTTTCCTTAGTTTCGAAAGGACTCGTATTCACGGCATTCTTCGGTTTGGGTTCAAAGCAACCAACAACAAAGCTGCGTATGAAGCTCTGCTCGCTGGACTACGATAGGCAAGAGAAAGGGATCAACTGCGATCAGTATCCACAGCGACTCCCGATTTTGGGGGAGTATCAGGCCAAAGAAGAAAACATGATCGGCTATCTGAAGAAAGCTAAGGTTGCACTCGAGCCATTTAAGCACTTCACGATCACGCAAATTCCCAGAGATAGTAATTTTGTCGCGGATGCCTTGACAAAGATAGCCTCGTTGCTGGACTCAGATGCGCCAAAGAATATTCTTGTTCGGTTCATAGAGGCCCCTAGTATCAGCTCACCTAAATAGGTCGTGAATATGACCGAGCCAGTTTCCTAGATGACCCCAATCATCTAGTATCTTTGAGACGGGACCTTGCCCAATGACAAGATCGAGGCAAGAACCCAACGAACCAGAGCTGCTCATTACACACTCATAGGAGATCAATTGTACAAGCGAGGGTTTAGGGCCCATCTCCTCCGATGTGTAACCGATGAGGAAGCAGATTATATCATGAGGGAGATACATGAAGGGATCTGTGGTAACCACACGACCGCACGATCTCTCACCAACAAAGTTGTTCGTCAAGGGTATTACTGGCCCCTGCTCCAAGAAGACACCTACAACTTTGTTAAAAAGTGTGACAAGTGCCAACGGTTCGCGAACATACCGTGAGCTCCTTCCCACCAGCTGATAACCATGTCCAGTGGCCATTCTCCATATGGGGAATCAATCTCATAGAACCTATGCCAGTTGGTAAAGGAGGAGTCAAGTATGCGGTGGTCGCGGTAGACTACTTCACCAAGTGGGTCGAAGCCGAACCTTTGGCCGCGATCACCACCAAAAAACTCAAGGACTTCATTTTCAAGAACATTGTGTGCCACTACGGAATTCCTCATACCCTTATCTCCGACAATGGAAAGCAGTTCGATAACGAGGAATTCAAGCAGTTATGCGATGAGCTGGGTATCCATAAAAAAAATTGCCTCAGTCGCGGGACCGCAAGCAAATGGTCAGGTTGAAGCTGTCAGTAAGACCATCAAGCATACTCTGAAAACCAAACTTGGCGCTGCCAAGGGGAATTAGGCTGACGACCTCCCTGAAGTCCTGTGGGCATACAGGACAACTCCAAGAACCTCTACCTCAGAAACCCCCTTCTCGCTAGCCTATGGCTGCAAGGCAATGATCCTTGTGGAGGTAGGAACGGGTTCACTTCGGAGAGACATGTTCAATGAAACAGACAATGAGGCGCTTATGTGCGCAAGTCTGGATTTAGTTGAAGAACATCGCAGGAAAGCTCAACTAAGAATAGTAGCCTATCAGCAGCGCGCGAAAAGGTTCTTCGACTCTAATGTTAGAAGAAGAGACTTCCAGGTCGGCGACCTCGTTCTGAAGGAAGTCCTTCTCGGTACAAGAGAATCGAGTGCGGGAGTATTGGAACCGAATTGGGAAGGCCCATACTGCATCACCAAAGTAATAAGACCGGAGACTTATCACCTCAAAAAGCTAAATGTTCCGAAGTACCGCGAGCTTGGAATGTTGAACATCTCCACCCATATTACCAGTAATTCCAAACTCACTTTTTTTCTCTTGTAAAGACTTTACTTTTCTCAAGACTTGTAAATAACACAAGTTCTTTTGTAATATCTTTTCCCGCACGTATATAGTTCTGTTCGCAAAAATGTTATCCGTATAAATACTATTGTAAACAGTTATAAAGAAACCTCATGTCCACATGTGTAACATTTGTGGGGTACGAAAAATTATAAGTACTCACAAATGATTAAGGAAACGATCTCTTTATTTATTAAAATAAAAATAAACAAGTACATATTAAGCGAGCACAGGAAAAGCAGTGCAAAAGCAGAGGCAATCACTGGCCGTCATCCCCAGGACCGGGGGGTGCGACCTCAGCATCCCTAGGCTAGTCACCAACCACCTGGCTTGCCGTAGGCTCCTCTAGGACATACTCCTCCAGATGCTCCTCTTTCAGATCAGGTCCCCGAGTTGTTTCATCATCCTCGGCCTGTGCCATGGAGGTGAGGATATCCTGGTAATCTTCTGGGAGGTCGGTCAAATCGATGGTGGGATTCTTTGGCCGAAGGGCATAGATGGACTGGATCATCCAGTCGGCAGCCCTACTCTCAATCTCCAATTCTTGTTGCTGTATCTCTTCGGTCAATGACTCGACACGACCCTAGGCGAATTGGAGTTCGGCCTCAAGCGCCCACTTCTACTTCTCGGTGGTCTCCCACAACTGCGCCTTTTCCTGCTCTGCTCTCGGAGGTCATTCGTAGCTCCAGCTCTTTCTTGCCAGCCTCCTTGGTAAGCCTGACCACTGTCCTTTTGAGCTCTTTAACTTTCTCTCCTTGCTTCTCTAGCTCGGCCTTCTGGAAATCCGCCGTGCGAAGTGTGGCATTCCTCTCAGACAGGTATTGATTCGCCTGAACGGTGGATAGGTCCTTTTCTGCTTGTGTAGCTTCGAAGTCCCGTTTAAGCCGTACGTTCGATTCTCTCAACTCGACCAGCCCCCAGCTGAACCTTCTGCAGGGACAAATGCATGGCAAATAGGGCCTGCGTAACGAAGAGAGTAAAGAGTTAATTTCCTTTCTATTGAAAAAAGCAAGGAAACATAAAAAGTCCTTGCCGAGGACGGTTTGTTTTACCTGGATCAGGTGGTGAAAGGACGTGGACATCAGATCCATGGGGTTGGAGGCCACGAACTGCTCGAACGCTTCTGCGAGCTGGTACTCCAATAGGGTAAACACCACCCGCTGTAAATGTTCAGGAAGTTGCCCCATAAAGTTTAACACGCTCGTGCCCGTGCCTGCAGCAGGTAAAATCTCGCCCATTGGTTCCTTGCCCGGTCTCCTTCAAGGATCCACAGCCTCCCTTTGCCTCATTCACAGACCCTCCGAAGTGATGGTAATACTAGTCGCGCCCCCGGGAGACCCTCCCGAGCGGAATGCCTGGTACGGTTGCGACCTCTTGGGATGAATGCCCAAACCCTCCGACTCGAATTCTGACTCCTCAACCCGAAGTTGCTTCTTCTTCTTGGACCTCTAGGCCATTGTCTTCTACTTGGGGCGACCATTTGCAGGTTGAAGGGCACCTATAGGTTGAACTGGTGCACCCGCCGGAGTCGCTTCGACGAGGGGACCGTTGGAAGCCACCCTGGCTGGTCCGGTGACGCGAACTCGGCGGAAGGTGAACTCCCTTGGTCGTTGTAACCTGGGCACTTTAAGAGGCATGGTCGCTGCATACGAACATCATCAGCAAAACAGTTCATTGCATGCGAATGAAGAAACCGGCTAAGGTTATGGCACCTACTCGGTAAGGTTTCTAAGTTCGCTTCGGGATTGAAGAAATAGTATTTTCGCAAGTTTGCGGTTGTCACGAGCAACCTTGTGTCACGACTTTGTTCGGGCAAAAGGCCGAAAGCAATGATTCTGTCAAGATCCTCGAGAGACAATAACCTGGTCGTCTTGTTTACTGCGAAGAAACAAAAAATTCATTAGCAAAGATAAGAAGGAAATTCGCCAAGTCAAAGAAAGAAAAACCTACTCTGCTCCCTAAACTGGCAAATGCCGTCATAGTGAAAAAAGAAAAACTTCGTCTCGTACGCCCCGACATTATTGGGATAACTGTGTATTCCTCCCTCGATCGTAGATCACTTCGAGAGGTAGAAAGAGTCCTTGTCTTTACTCTTCTTCAGATAATACGAGTAATCAAGCTCTAACGCGGTTAGCTCGCCTAAACCGTTCTCACCGCATGCAATATATATAGCCACGACTATCATATATGCATTTGGTGTAAGCTATAATGGTACGACCCTGAAATGATCGAGGACCGACCTAATAAAAGGGTGGAAAGGGATCAGCGCTCCACTCTTAAAAATGTTTTCGGAGATTGCAGCCATTCCTTTTGGCGAATTCCGAGCTTTATATGTCCTATGTTGGTAGACCTCTACGCTGAGAGCATATTAGTCTACCGCTTTCTGAATATCCTCTATGGTGGCTACTGACAGAATCTCCTGAGAGGGACCTGCTGGGGCATCCTACACCAGCGAGCTCGCTCCCTCATCTGTCCTGGTCGCTGAGAGGTCCATTTCTTTTGTGGTCTGAAAAATCAACATGCAGGAATTACTCAGTCGTCGTACATTGTTTCGTACGATGACGTGGAGGAAAAAGTAAACACTATCTTCCTTAAACCCTAAAGAATCCTTAGGGGCCACCCCCAAAGACTCAAACCCTAGGAGAAAGCTTATTCTCCAATCAACCACCAGCAAACGATCACCATTATCACATAGCCATCTCCAAAAATAGAAAAAGGAAAGTGATAAGAGAATCATCCTTACCTCTTGAGTATGAAGATTGATCCTCCTGCTCTGAACGTCAAGTGTGCACTAGTCTGAAAGACAGAAAATCGAGGCTTACGAAAGCTTCTTGTTCTCTTTGAAAGGGTGAGTATTGTGACATTGCTTGAGGTGAGCCAGGGGTTTTATAGTGAAGGAAGTGGCGCTTGATTTTCCCAAAGTCAAACGACGTTTGAACGGAAATCATCTCTCACCGTTGATTGTGACCATGTGTCGTCAATCAACGGGAAAGAGTAACCATCACGCTTCGAGAAATCAAATCGTCGTTTCTCTCTATTGAAATACTCAAGCGACGACTCGCTTCTCTCCTCCACATTAAATGCGTTCACATTCGCATTTGATGTTCTGATAGGGAATGTCGTTTCAACATGACTTGCATTTAATGTGCATGGCTGGCACTTATTACGCATAGGACACGTCTGTCAGAGCAAATGGTGTTTCATTAATGTATCTGTTGCCAAAGTGCAACGAATAACATCTGAAGAGGTCGTTAGATAAAACACTCTTCATCACGTGTCAGTTGCGAAGCGACGTGACTCTTTGCCTTCAACAAAAAATACGCTAAGTATAATCAGGTTGTGAACCTCGGTCAAGACTGGAATCATCGCTATGGCATTGAATAAGGTCTAGTAAAGGTCGCAGGCCTTACAGAAAAAGACCATTTCAGTTCGCCTATATGGAAATATTTCGCGACCTCCTCACAACCAGGTCAGATCAACCAACGGTTACTCAGCACATCAAATCAAGGCATGATTGTGTAGTTTTCAAGGTTCGATCCTCAAACCTTAAAAACTATGGGACTTCTGTTATGCCTGAGAAAGTAGGGTTGACGTCGAGCCTTGTCAGCATGGGTGGTTAGAGCTTAAGAAGGTTCTACATCCACTCAGATGCGGCCACGTCGCGTGATGACGTGAGCAGTATGCTCCTGCCAGTGTAGTGGGTATGCGCCAGGTTGGCGAAAGGCTAGAAAAGGTCCATGTATCCAATCCCTGCACAAGTCGAGGAAATCACTTGGGCAGGTGAGTAATGGGACGCAGAGAAAGATTTACATGGCATTTGCCCCATTCACAGATTTAGTAATCATTACTTTAATTCATCCCACTATAAATAAATGGCTCCTTTCCCGTTTGTGGGATTGGCTAATTTTTCTCTGAAATAGAATACTCTCTCTCTCTCTCTCTCTCCCTATTGTATTTCTTAAGCTATAAATCAGCTCACTGAACACGACCTGACTTCATTCATTAATACAATATCAGTGGATGTAGGATTTGTTTGTTTAAGCATCCGAACCACTTTAAACATTGTTCTTCATCCCTTACTCAATCAAACACCCCCATAACCACGTGTGACTTCTGAATCCACTCAACATTTCCCACGTGTGACTTCTAAGTCCACTTAACATTTTCCACGTACGAATAATTGATGTCAAAATGGTATTTAACTAGGAACCCAATAGCAAACTTTTGTTTCATTTAAATTTATTTTTCCGCATGGCATCTTTAACTTGATGCTCTTTAAGCATTAAAATTTGACAATTTGTGTTCCCATAATCTCCTAATTTGGGTTTTGATATGAAGCCTTTCCTGTATATTTCCACATCCGTTCTGTCTCATTTATGTTCATTTCGAAGAACCTAAGTATATGAACTTCATTCATCCTATTGAAATGAATCCATTGAATTACAAATTGAACAAAAACTACTGAGCCCCAAGCACATACCAAAATTCACTCATATGCCATTGAGATTTTACCAAACTTCAAATGAAATTATCATGACCTAATAAACAAACAAAACTACTATGATTACCAAGGCAGAACGCGATTCTAATAACCAACACAAATTAATCAATCTGACTATTCATGAAAACTGAGTCATTAGTAACAATAATATCTTCCAAAACTTGCAATGACCATTACAAACTTGGAGGCTTTGGTGGTGTCAGCAACGATTTCGGGCGTTTTGGAATAAATTTCCGGGCCCAGACATGCTTCCCATTGATGGTGAACTTTGCCTTACCCAGACCATTCAGAATCACATTAATGCTTGATGCTGAGTGAAAAACAATGCGAGCAAACAGGGATTGCTCAGTTGACTGAACTTCCTGCATGTGCAATGACTCTATACAATCCCCATAAGCTCTTATGAAGAATTCTCTTACCTCCCTTTCAAGCACTGGATACCCTTTAGAGAATGTAACGAACATAGTCCTATCGTCTGCTGGAACCTCATTTTGTTGGGTCCACGACTGAACCATTTCATTCGGACAAAATCTCACTTGAAAGCCAGGTTGAACCAAAGATTTCTGGAAAGATTGCGCCATCATCTTCTGGCTATCTGCTAAGCTTTGACTGGCATTTCTTTCAACAGCTTGTTGCATGATGTCGGTTACTGCTCTGATGCAAACATCGCTTGCAATTTTCGCAACCCCTTGAATTGCATTTAGCCGATTGTCGTAAAAAAATCTGAGAGAAATTTCTTTCTCCATCAAGCACTGCATCAAAGGAATATCATTATTCTCAGATGAGCAAGGAGAATTATCATTGTTAATGCAGTTCAGGCAGATGACTGCCTCATCTGCTAGTTCATTTATCAATGTGTAAGGCAAGGATAATATCTTCTTTACAACATTGTTAAACCCTGTTCTCTCCAACCAGAGCCATAAGGCCATAATCTGCATAGAATCCACAGGATCCCGCCATAAATTGATGGCAAGGATTGTGTATAATTCCCTGTCAATTTCATGAAATATCTTGAATTCTTCTTGTGATACAAAAGGGAGTAGAGATGGCATCATATGCTGTACAGTGTTTGTGTATGAAGACCACCAGAACGATTGGGACCTGCTAAGATATCATAGTAGTCAAAATCATCATACAAAATTTCAGATTAGACAAAAGAAAAGAGAAGGATAACAGTTGTGTGGCCTGGCCAATCATGACAACAGGCAATGAAATTTCGACAAAAAAGCTAGTTCAACTTATCGGATACATCTGTCAACATAATATAAGTTGTAAAATACACTGCAATACATTAGGGAGCAAAAAGAAACCTGCAGGTGATTGTTCTCTGGTAGGGCTGCTTTTGCTACGAAATCCTCTCTGTGGCCAACGAGCATCAGCAAAATCAAACTGCTGCCATGGTAATGCTAATCAGAATCTGTGCCAGTTTATAAGCAGTGTGAGACAATGTGCAAACCAGGAATGAGCCAGAGTCATAATATTGTCTTTATCAATGCTTAAATTCTTACTATCAGAACTTTATTGGCTTCGATACCATTTTAAGAAAAAATTTGTATATGGCAATGTATAATTAATGTTCTTTTGCCATATATAATTAATGTTCTTCAAAGAAAACATAATTGGGGTCATTCAAAATTTTCCCTTTTTCAAGGTATCTCATTTGGCAATAAGTTAAATTTACAAATGTCTAACATGGCAGAGCATATTAATAGTTACTCAACCAATAGTTTAAATACCTATCAAATATTGGCCAATCAGCTGATAATTCAAATTTTAAACTAATTATGACAATTCTGGAAGTATGTGTTTTCCATCTTTCTGTCGGTACTCCTGCTTGTCTAGACATGATATTGAACCAGAAGTACTCAATGAATATTACTAGTTGATGCGCAGAAATAATCACACAGAGAGATAAAGATCATATTGCAGTGAGTAAACCTTAAGTTCGTGTTCTTCTATCCAGGAGTTGTGAAAAATTTGAAGGAAGTCAAGTATTGAACAGTTTATTTATCCATTTTATTGGTTTGATCTTAAGGAGCAAATTAAATTAATTGCAAATCTCAGACTTACTTATCTGTTACTAGTTAACTCACTGATTTATTACTATATCAAAAGTTAAAACTAATCGATGATGATCGACTACGACAAGTTTTCTATTTTAATATAAAATTAAATGGCATAATTCAAACCTGTCCCCGTAACTACAACCAGTATTGAATTACATCAACTGTGAAAATAGATTTGCATGACTTCTCATTAATCAACTACTTCCAATCAAACAAAGATGTCATCACTTGTCCTAGCACATCTGTTGTTGACAAAGGAAAAGATATAAATTTTGGCACTTTATTTATACTTGAGATCAATCACAGCAGGGAAACTTTTTAGTTGATTATTTAATTAATATGTTGTCTATCATACAGTGACATCCATCACCTGTTAGTTTCCAGATAATTTAAAATTTTGTCTACTAACCATTCAAAATGTTTCTCAAGATCAATTATGACTACAAATTATGAGGAACTTACTTGCAGACCAGCGCCCAAACCCATCTTCCATATTGCTAGATTCTCAGGAAGTTCATTAACTGTGGCCAAAGCCACAAATCCTCCATGTTGAGAGCAGTCAATCATACAATTGGTGAATGCTATGAAAGTGGCTTAAACTGGAGAGTTCTGCAGCTACAAACCATACTGCTTCAGCATCTGTTATCAAACATGTACAGAAATACTGAGAGAATGGGACACAATAGCCATGTTCAATAGAATTAACCATCAATCTCAACACAGCAAGCACAACAGGAAAGGTGGAAGGAAGAGGTTGCATAGGAAAGAGCCTCTGCAAATTTGAGCAGCTATGGTTAAATTGCCATAAATGAAAATGCCGGTAATACTAATGATTTCAGTGAGTAGAGGATAGAATGAGACAAAAGAAAGACAATGATACAATGCAACTGGTTACTTCTATTATTTATAGTAAAAGCTCATAGTTTAGAGGCTATGACACAAAAGCCAGCCAAAGCTAGGAAGAAGAAAATATATATTTAAAATTCTAGTATAATAGAGTGAATCTAAAAGCCAAAGCCAACACAAAACAAAAGAGTACAACTACATTAAGTTCGCCAAATGCCCATTCATGGAATACCTAAAAGCTACAAGTACAATGGGCAACATCATGATATCAAAGCAGGAAACTGCCTTCAACACCACAAACTTTCTTCCAACTATGAGGTTGAAAAGCATGAACACCAAACTGAAACTAAATGTCAGTATTATTAGCCGTCCATGTCTCCACCATAAACTTCCAAACCAGTTACGTTAGGACTTGAATCAGCAACACTTTGAAGATCAGACAGAGAGAAAGAACGCCAGGGAGAGTTTCGCCGAGGAGGTGAGGATGATGATCCATTGCCTGGTAATCTTTTAACTTGAGGATGCAGAGGAGGCAGATGATGAGAATGTGATGATGAAATTGAGTTGGAGTTTTCATCGGTAATGCTTTCAGAGCTGTTAATTGACACCTCAAGAACCAACGTGCTTCGACCAAAGTTAGCTGATTTCTTTGACATCCCACTTCCATTACTTCTGAAATGGAGATTGCGATTCTTATTTAAGAAATTATTATGAGCTAATAAATTCTTGCGTTTCCTGGTGTAAGGATTCTCTGGCTTTGCAAGGTCTTTAATAGACGAAGCAGAGGAGGCATCTGATAGGCTTGTGAAAGACTTTGATTTGCCTGTATAAAACTTGGATATGCCTTTCCTGGATTAAATTGGAACATTAAAAATGTAAGACGTTTAATAACCTGGATAAACAACAAAGAAGGCACAACAGAAAAAACATTAACATTGTGTCTCTTTCAGATAATGCTCTTTAGAATATTTATCAAGCTTGAAGGCTTAATCTTTTACCAATGAAATTCATCATCTTGGGGGACAAAGCCTTTGTCCCTAGTGGACAGATGTTATTACATAACAAATAGATAAGTGATGCTTAAACAACTCTCAATGGCCCTTTCTAATTACCAATCAAACACCCATATCAAAATCAGGAATATAATTTCCTTCCACTTTTACCCTCAATTATAACACGATCTGAACACTACATTTTTTCCTGGTAACATTCTTAATTCAATTCCTAATTCACTTATCTAACACATTATTTCATCCCCGGTCCTCGCCTTTATTGGGAAACAAGAATTTCATTCACTTCAATTCCAGCAGTGCAGCCGACTAATGAAGACAAAGCAGCCCATAAATGAAGTCATTAGTTACGATATTGAGCTTATTAATATATGATAATACTTTTTCTTGGAAATTTTAAAGTTTAAATTAAGTGTAAAGTCCCAATCATAAAATGAAAATCAGCGAGCAAACAAAAGAGGATAATAAACTAAAATAGAAAGTAACAAAAACAAACACCGAAATTGAGGACTCAACACAGACCCACGTTATAGGAATAAAACTAGACCAAAAACTTACTTGATAGGCAGAACTTCCTCCAAAGATTCCAGAGTATCCAAGGGTCCTTTAAACAAGCTCTGAACTTCATTTGAATCTTCACCGTCCGATGAACCCCCACTGACATCACTGTTCCTCCCGACTGATGAAGACGAACTGCTAGACTCCACGTCTTCCTTTCTCTTCCTCTCCACCGGCAACCGCCTATCACCTGCAATAGCTTTGGCCTCCGGTGACTCGTAGATTGACACACACTGCATGAACTTGGAGCGTTGGATTGGATTAGTATTATTTCTCCCCAAAGCAATCGGCATCGTCCAAAACCATAAACAAAAAAGATTGAGCAGTAAAGTTATTTTTGATCAAGTAGACCAAAAAGGCAGTGAAGGACTGCTTTCTGTACTAAATACTTATAATAGCTGGTGCTTTTGCACATGGGTTGGCGATATTTTCGCCATTGCTGATTTGAGAGAGAGGTAAAAACACCTTTAATTTTTACATTAATCGATTAATTAATACTTAAATACAATTATAAAATAAGTTTAATAACTAAATATTATTAAAATAATAAAGAAAACACAGAATAAATGAAGAAACTTAAGCCTTATCTTCGTCGAAGAAAAATACTTCTTTAATTTGTTGGAAAAGTAAAAGAAGATTATCTACTATTAGATATTTATCTTATTTTCTACGTATTAAATTAAGGGGCGATGTTACGTTGTGGACAAGTCAGACATAGAATGCAATGTTTCTCGAGACTGTACCAGGTTAACGGTTGACTCTTGTGTGCCACGTGTACGGCTCTGATGACCATGGTTTTTGACCTACCATCAAATGATTGCAATGAGCTAGAATAAATAGGGTTTTATAAAGTGGAGATTGGTGGATCGAATGACGATAACCGATTAAATATTCATCATCAAAATCATCCGAAAATTAGTTAATAGCAGGAAACCCTATCTTTGTGATGGTCGATAATCAGCAAGAAATTAGGTATCAAAGTAAGAAAAGTTTTGTAGAGAGAATATCGGAGATTCAAATGATAATGATGGAGAAAATTGGCTAAAATCAATTTTAGGTAGTAACAAAATATTAATTTTGAGTGAAAAAATGGTATTTTAAAATTTTTTGGGTGAGAAAATGTCATTAAGACAAACCTTTGATGGGAAAAAGTCGTTTACTCTGTGCTTAACCATTTCTGGGCAATATTAACTTTGTAGACTATATAGCTACTTGAGCACATGGCTACATGCTAATAAAGTTTGATTTATGAGATCAGGATAAAGTTGTGAATATTACCTTGGATAATTTATTAAATTAGATAAGTTCGAAATTTTATTGACTTGTTTACCTTAAGTAAAAAGTCTTTGATATTTGTTGTCTTTTAGGTGCAAATTTCTCCAATTCTTGTGTGCCACGGCCATGGGTCAATGCCTTGATTGCGGTTTTGGATTTAGAAAAGTAACGTTTACCAGCCATTACAATTTGATTTGATTATGTTATTATCCTCTAAAATTTAGCTTCTCGATTATTTTAGGGGCAACATGTGTTTATAATTTATACTTTCATTTATGAATGTATGAAAATATTATCGGTAAGTTTTCAAGTTTTTATTGAGTTGACTTTTAAAATACTATTTTACTATCCAAATTTATATTATGGTGGCGAACAAAGAGCAAACTTGGTTCAAGTTGTTAGAGCTTTTAAAGAGGGGAGTCCAATAAGTCTTTTGGTTGTGGAATATTAGATTTTAGTGGTTAGAATTGATTAGAATTTGACTTGGGAGGGGCGGCTGTCAAATCTTAATCGCTCAATTGTCATGATTGGCAGGATTGGTAGGAGTAGAGTTTGAAAGGTTTTGGTGAGTAATGATCAGGTAAGAGAATGATGGTGGTGTGGGGTTGTAATGATGTCAAAATCAGAAACAAAATATAAATTTAGATTATAAAGTAGTATTTTAAAAGTCTGTTGGTGGAAAAGTGTCATTAAACCATTATTTGGGTGGGAAAAAGTCGTGTACTCGTTTTTATTAGAGTAAATGATGTCAAAACACAGGTATTTTAAAATGTATTTCTTATTTTCTTGTATGAATTGTCGGCCGAACGACTTACGCATACCCAAGATTTGTCGAAACAACAAGTTGGTACCCAAAAGGTTTTGAAACGACAAATAGGTACCTTCCGTCATGTTCTGTTAGTGATTTTCGTTTGATAATAGTAAAAAGACTAAAATGCCCTTGAAAGTTTAATATTTTAGTTTTTTATAAATTTAAAAATTTCTAAAAAACCCCCTCGGTTTGCTAATTTAACTAAATACCCAAATATATAAAATTTGTATAAAATAACAAAAATACCCCCGCCACCCGCAGTGCCAGATTCCGGCTACCACCGCTGGAATCTCGTCGAAAAATTGCGTTACGACACAGACCCATCGGATTTGTGTCGTAACACGTAGATCTGGCATTTTCCGTCAAGATCCGTGGCTGATCTGGCCGGAAAAGGCCAGATCTACGGCTAGATCTGGTCGTCGAGGCCAGAATCTTGCCAGAAAATTGTGTTACGACACAGACCCATCGGATCTGTGTCGTAACACAATTTTTCGGCCAGATTCTGGCGGTGGTGGCCGGAATCTGGCACTGCGGGTGACGGGGGTGTTTTTGTTATTTTATAAAATTTTTATATATTAGGGTATTTTGTCAAATTAGCAAACCTAGGGGGTTTTTTAGAAATTTTTAAATTTATAGAAAACTAAAATATTAAACTTTCAAAGGCATTTTAGTCTTTTCACTATTATCAAACCAAAATTACTAACAGAACATGACGGAAGGTACCTAGTTGTCGTTTCAAAACCTTTTGGGTACCAACTTATCGTTTCGATAAACCTTGGGTATGTGTAAGTCGCTCTCCCATGAGTTGTTTTATACAAAGGTTATATTATTTATACAACTCAAGAAAGAAATGCTAAGAAATAAGAAAATATACAAGCTATTAAAATGGAAATCAAATATAGTAAAATATAATATTGCCAATATCTTGTTGGTATGGAGATCAATATCTTTGATCATAATCCTTCCATAATATGGACTCGATTCTCTTTCATTCTTGATTGATAACTCACGCCAACACTCCCCCTCAAGTTGGTGCATGGATATCTCCAATGCCCAATTTGTCAAGTGAGTTGTAGAATATTTTACTGGGCATAGCCTTATCTGCCAATTAGTCTTCATACTTAACAAATAGAAACTGAATTATCCTCGCTTCCAGGTTCTCCTAGATGAGATGTCTATCCACTTCAACCTGTTTTGTGTGATAATGTTAAATTGGATTATAAGGAATGTCTATCTTTGCCTTCTTGTCCCAAAATAAATTCATTACTGACATAAGTGTGTAACCAATCTTTGTAAGTAACCCTTTTAACCAAAAGAGTTCATAAAGCCCTTTGGTCATTCCTCTGAATTCAACTTCTACTCGACATAGCACCACCTTTTGCTTCTTACTCCACCAAGTGACTAAGTTTCCTCCTACAAAGGTAAAATATCCTGATATGGATCTCCTTTCAGTAATACTTCCAACTCGATTTCCATCTATGTAACCATTAATATCCAGATGACTATTCCTTGAGAACATAAGCCCTTTTCCAGGAGCAGATTTCAAATAACGAAGAATTCAAACTACTGCATTCATATGATCTTCACCGGGGCAATGCATAAATTAAGTTACTACTCTAAGAGCATAAACAATATTTGGCCTTGTATGTGACAAATAAATTAGCTTTCGATCTAACTTTTGATATATTTCTTTATTAGTAGGTACCTGATATGGATACTCTCCCAGATTATGATTTTGAGCAACTTCAGCATGTTTACAGTTAAGCATTCTAGTTTCTAGCCATAAGTCTAAAACATACTTCCCTTGGATAGAAATATGTCTTGCTTATACCAAATAACCTAAATAAAGATAAATGATTATAATTATAAATAAAGATAAATGATACTAAAATAAATGAGTAAAGTTACGTTACTTGCAGAAATAATAAAATTTATATTGTAATCATTTATATAAATTTGTACGATCATAATTCTACATTATATTTTATTTAGGAGTTAAGCTACTTTAACTTAAAGTTTACAATACTAAACCATCAATTCATTGTAATTGAATGATTTAGAAGTTGTTGAGGTGGCACAAAAAATAATTATCTTTAATTTCTTTCTCTTTAAGTTAGATTGACTGCAATTAATTCATATAGTTAATAATAAATATTTCAATCTATGTCAAAATTTTAAATTATTCAACACTTTTATTTTCCATAAGAAAGTTGTATGAAAAAATTGTTCTGTGCTACTTTTGTGATAGGGGTGAAACCAAAAATTAATTTTGAGATGGGCTAAATTAGATAAAAAAAAATTAAAAAAACAAATCAATTTGGTTTATGTGAGAATTTTTATATTTATTTTGTATGTAATCTCCTTTTATTTATTTAATTTGTTTTTACTTTAAAGTTATCTAATCAAATGAAAATATATCAAATTGTATGATAGAATTTATATAAAAAGTTTATACATAAAAAATATTATTCGATATAAGATTAGGGTTAAGTTCACTTTTGACATGATAAAAAGATCTAACACATTGATTACTATAAGATTATATTTGTCAAGATTAAAAGTCATTTAAGTTCTCTGTTACTTCAAAATTAAGCTAAAAACTTTGTTGATATCTTGTTGTAATTTAAATTTTTAAGACAAAGATTATATAAAATTTATTAACTAAAAACAGTTTTAGTGATTTCGTATATTGAAATAATTATTTAAATATGTTTATACAGCTTGTTTCATAAATTAAACAAAATAGATCATAAATATATATCAGTCATCCTTAAAATTTCAAACATATTTTCTTTCATATCAATCATCCTTAAAACATTTTCGCGCATAGTCGCATAGATCAGTTTAAAAAGAGAAAAAAAAAATTCTTTAGAGGAAAGTTTTAATCACATTATTTCATGTATTTGTGAAATAAAATCCGTTACATATTTATTCACGACAAATCTTAATCATAATATCCCTTATTAACAGCTTAAAAACAAATTATACGATGGAAAAAGACTCAAATATTAAAAATTAAAAATTTAAATATCATTTTAAATCTACAGGTATAACAAATAAAGCCGACGAAGTCTCGAACTCTCACAAGCAGAAACACGCCCGCCACCGTCGAAACCTACAAGAGTTCGCTCTATCACTCACTCATCCACTCATTTTCTGAAACAGCTAAAGCAAAAGAAAAAATAATCGAACAAACTAATGTCAAGTAGCAGTAACAGAATCAAAAACTATGAGGACTTCGTCAAAGTCCATGGTCTGCTATTGGCAGCCTCCGGCCTCCCTCAGTCACTACACCTTCAGCTCTTCCAGAAACTCACCACTGAGACTTTCGACGGCGGGGCTTTCTTTCAAATCGAGCCTTGCGGGGACGGACGCCAGCGGCGGCTCCTCCTCACCTCCGACTTCATGCCTAAACAGTCCAACGTTTTTCTGGTCGACCACGCCTGGACTTTTCGTCTCTCTGATGCTTATAAACAGGTCTCTTGTACCAACTTATTGTAAAAATAAGCGTGCCGTGTTTTGGTCCTAAGTGAAATGTATGAAATTTGACCTGAAATGTGACGTTTCTTCTTTTTATATCATTTTAATTTGATTATTGTTTATGTTTATTAATTAATGAAGTGCTTAAAATGTGTAACTTAAAGTTAATTTTTCTTTCTAAACTAGTGTTTTGTCTCTATTGGATTAAATGCACTGAGAATTGGTAATCTTCGAGCTGTTGCAGCTGCAGGAGGTTCCAGGGCTTGCTCAAAGGATGGCTTCTTTGATGTGTGTTGATATTGGTGTTGCTTCAGATTCTGAAGACATGGACCTTGTAAATGGTGTTTCGCATCAGAATGGTGTCGTATCAAATGTTGAGGAGGTATTGCAGAGTGAAATTCGCAGTGCAAGAGAAAAAGATGACGGCAATGTAAAGTGGTTGGAACTCGAGGAGCTTAACATTGATGATGACATGTTGCTGTCTCTCAATTTGTCTAGTAAATTTCCGGTTTGTAATTTAATCATTCTTATAAGTATATCTTTTATATTATATATGAAATATGGCTTTGTGTTTACACTAATCATATAGGAAGGATGCCGATAGTTTATTGCTAGTTTAGACATTCAGGCTTAGCTTTGCTTATCTCCTGAAGCTGACTATATGCCATGCTCCTTACTGTATTAGGATTTACAAGCTCTTAGCCTTTGCGGAAACAAGCTTGAGAATGTGGAAATTGTTGTGCAAGAAGTTATCAAGTTCAAAAACCTAAGGGCTTTGTGGCTGAATAACAATCTTGTTCTTGAAAAATGGTATGATAGCTTATACAATGATAATTTAATTAATATCTTTTAAAGTTACCGTTGGTGGCTATCCATTAAGAAATAACTCAACCATTTCAATTTCAGTGATCAGCAAATGGAAGAAGTGATCATACAACGATGCACTGGACTAGAAATTTTCAACTCACGTTTCACTAGTAAGTTTGGCGAGTGGGCGTTGGGCTTTTGTGGAGAGGTTTATGTGAAGGATAATCCAAGCAGTCTCCATCAAAGTGACCATCCCTTGCAAAGTGTGACCTCACTTGACCTTTCAGATAGATGTATTCACAATCTGATCAATAAGGTGTTAACATTTTCTCTGTTTGCTTCCTCTTTTTTAATCTGTTCTTCATTCGCTTCTTAATTGTAATTTGTAATGCATGCTAGATATTATCATATTCCAAACTAGTTAGTTAGTAAAGATCAATAAATCTGGTATTCTATCCACTTAGTTGTAAAAGTTTGTTAGAATTAATGTGTTTTGTTACAGACAATCAATTAATCCTGTAGGGAGTTCATTTCTGATGCTCAATAGTTCTGCCTTCATTCAGGCATTTTCACCTGCTGAGATACCATCTCTTTCGCATTTGCATATTCGAGGAAATTCATTGGAGCAGAATTCCGTTTGTGAATTATTGGAACTCTTGAAGGGATTTCCCAGCTTGCAGTCTTTGGAGGTATTCATTTTAGAATTAATAATTTCAATTTTACAGCATAGACACTGATTATTATAAACCTTGAATCAAGGAATATTTCAGTTATTTAGACTTAACCATTTTGCAGGTTGATATACGTGGTCCTCTTGGAGAAAGTGCCATAGAAATTCTTAAATCTCTTCCAACTCTTTCTGTATTAAATGGAGTCAGTGCTTCTAAAATTTTAGAAGATGGAAAACATGTGATTGATTCAATGCTTCAACCACGTCTTCCCGAATGGACAACGGACCATCCTCTCACTGATCGTGTTCTTAGTGCAATGTGGTTATATTTAATGACATATAGACTTGCTGATGAGGAAAAGATAGATGAAACATCTGTATGGTATGCATTTTTGTGTTGATTTAATTCTGGCTTTACTTCTTTTATCCTAGTTAACTTGCTGATTGGCTCTGAGCTATATAAGTTCTCTACTCATGATTTTGTAAGTTGTTGTCCTGCACGGTCATCCTTTGTAATTTATTCTCATGGGTGTATAAGTACTGACTTAGTTTTGGACAAAGAATTCTAAAGATGTATTAGCTTTGGTTAATTTGTGCTCTCATTATTTTTGTTTAATGGATGTTTGCAAATCTGATTTTTGCCTTTGTTTATAAAGTTGGAGAAGCAGTGTTGCCTGGCAAGTATATCTGAATGTTTTGTATTGACTAAATGCTATCTGCAAGGATGTGGAGAGTTCTGTGTGAACTTTGTTACTTGAAATGAATATATATATCCATCCTTAAATGTCTTGTCAATAAACATATTAACTCGTAGACCAGGTGTGGGAAGTCATAGGAAGGTGAAACAATTTTGGTAAGTTACGAAATACTGCTCATGTAAAAAGTATTTTGAATCCATTCTTTAAACAGGATTAATATACATAGGTTTTACTTATTGAAAACTAAAAAAAAAAAAAGTTATAAGAAAAGGTTTAATGACTAAATTCATTCATTTGAACTAATTGCTTTCAGTTGGTGAACCGACTCAAGTCATGGTATTCAGTGGTATATGTGTTGGGTGTATTTATGCCTAGTTCTTGGATTCATCTAAATCTCAGATCCTATATTCCTATGATAGTGGTATCAATGGTATGTCCCAATGTTTAATTTTCTGATTTAGTGCAAAGAAATGTAGTCAGTGTAACATGGTAGATCTAGAAACATGGCAAATAAACATGATTTTAGTTTTGTTTCTCTCACTCTCTCTCTTCCCTGCTTAGTGTTTATATGCCCAGCAGTGGGTGTGTCAGTGTTTTCATTCTCATTTCAATAGTGTCATTTGATATTACTTTACTCAGTTTCTGTTATTGACCTCCCCAAGAAATGAAATTACTGCCTTGAAAAATCTAACTCATAGCTATTACGTGGATGGTCATTTCTTTCTGTATATATGACAGTGCTTTGCTGTCTGCAGGTATTTTATGGATGAATTAGGTTCAGCTTTGCGGCATAGTGATAAACCAAATTTCAGGGTGGCCCCCTTTCTTTTTATGCCAGAAGGGAAACTGGTGTCAGCTATCAGGTTTTATGTTTTACCTTTCTTCCTTTACTTTTGCTTCATCATAGAGCAGTTCTTCTTGTCTTTTCTTGTACCTTGTATTTTTTTGTAATTGATGTCTGCGGTATAATTATGATTGAATTCATTATGTTCTTTTAAATAATTTTTGTGCTCTTGTTTGTTTGTAATTCTAATTAGATAAAATGTATTCCTTATGTTCTTGGTCTAATGACAACTTAAGGACACTTCCTGTGAAGTCATAAAATGAATGAATCTTTTTTCTTTTTCAGCTATACTATATTATGGCCCATCCAGAATGTTTACAAAGGTGATGAGTGTACTCGTGATTTCCTATTTGGTATTGGGGAGGACAAACAGCGTTCTGCCAGGCTTACGGCTTGGTTCCATACACCACAGAATTATTTTATTCAAGTATTATCTCTTATACTAGACTCACTGCTATTTTTCACTTAAATGCGACTCACTGCTATTTTTCACTTAAACTGCGACTCACTGCTGATTGGTATTAACTCATGTTGAATCCTGCAGGAGTATGAGAAACACTGCAAGAAATTGCATATGAAAAATTTAACCTATCTGCCTACCAAGTCTTCTACAACGGAACGTTTATGCTGTGGTGATGGATGTGCATTACGTGTTTACACTGACATACCTCAAGTTGAAGAATATTTGACACGTCCAGAATTCATAATCAGTATGTATTGTCGTCCATTATAGGAAGGAATTCCTATATTTTATGACTGATGTGATCTATTTATTTTCTTTTTACTGTCTTTGACTGAATATAATGCACCCTATGCATTTATTGCCTAATAAATGAGAGCATTCATATTATATCATCAAGGATCTTACAGTATCCAGACAGATTTATTTGCTAGGTTCATGAAAATTATTTGGATATAAATCTCCTTGATTGATTTATTGCATCTAACTTAGAATATTTTCTTTTGGTTGGTGTTGGTGTTGGCTGGAAAAGATTCTTAAGATTTCTGATTTGATTCTTTTGATTCTGTATTTGATATAAACCCTATGCCATCACTGTTCTGATAATCCCTTTTACCACCTAACAGCGACAGAGCCAAAGGATGCAGATATTATATGGACAAGTATGCAGGTGGATGAGGACATGAAAAGAGCTACTGGAATAACAGATCAGCAATACATAAACCAGTTTCCTTTCGAGTCTTGTCTTGTGATGAAACATCATTTGGCAGAGACTGTTCAGCAGGTTCAATTAGCAAACTCTCTTTTATTGTTATTGCTTGCCTTATGAATCTCTTGGATGGATAGATATGTTGTTTCCTGCCAAGTAAAAAATTATGCAATTCTTTTCCAGTAGTCATATGTATACCTACTTAGGGATAAAATGCCCAGTATACCAAAATGGAAATTAGCACTTGCAATAACTTTTAAGAGTTGATATTAACTTCAACTTATCCATTCCAACAGGCGCATGGGTCTCCTGAATGGTTGCAGCCTACTTACAATCTGGAAACACATCTATCTCAACTTATTGGTGACTATCATGTACGGAAAAGAGATGGACATAACAATCTATGGATCTTAAAACCTTGGAACATGGCACGGACTATTGATACGACTGTTACTGATGATTTATCAGCTATTATTCGTCTCATGGAAACTGGTCCAAAAATTTGCCAGAAATATATTGAGCACCCAGCGTTGTTCCAAGGAAGGAAGTTTGATCTTCGTTACATAGTGCTGGTTCGCAGTATGGACCCTCTAGAAATATTCCTTGCAGATGTTTTCTGGGTATGCAGATTTTTTTCTGGTATTTTGCCGAAATGATAATTTGGTGTGAATGCAGTTTCTTTTTGCTGATAATAGAAGAGGCATTTTTTACTGTTTTCTGCTTTCTAGATGCCTATATTCAACTTTTTACCCTTTTTTTTATTATTATTATTTCTCTTATATTTTCAGGTTAGATTGGCAAATAATCCCTATACTTTAGACAGACACAGTTTCTTTGAGTATGAGACGCACTTTACAGTTATGGTATGTTTAAACATCGTCTTATAGCACAACTACTGCATTTAATCTTCTGAGTGATCAAGCATAAATGGGCACTCTCCATGGGGTATTTTTATTTATTTTTTTGTAGGAAACATAGAAATGTATATTAATGACCAGAAATCCACTCTCCATGGTGTATTAAACTCAATTAAGATAAAAGAGAGTCTGATGTTTATTGGACATTATTTTTTGCTCATAATTCCTACACTGTTAAATTACTTTTTGTGGTTTTCAGAATTACGGTAGGAAATTTAGTCACATGAACACACCCGAGTTCATGAGGGAGTTTGAATGGGAACACCAAGGTATCAGGACTTTGTTAATGTTTGGTTATTCTGCTTGCCTATTCTTCGTAGAAATTCTTGAGTTCTCTTAATGCTATAATCCATGCTTGCTGCGGTTAAATGGTTAGATATTCATCAGAAAGTAAAGAATATGATCAGATCTGTGTTCGAAGCAGCTGCTGTTACACATCCAGAGATGCAGTGTTCAAAGTCTAGAGCCATATATGGTGTGGATGTAATGCTCGATAACTCTTTTCAACCAAAGTTATTGGAGGTTTGTAACTTGAGCAATATTTCCCTTGCTTGATGCCTGCTTTTTTAGTATTAAAAAAATTAGGATACAATTTGAACTTAGGCATTTTTCGTATCCTTACTAAATATTTTGCAAATAAAGAATAAAAATCAGTAAATGTAATAAACATTATGGGTATTGATACGGTATGTTGGGTGGTTTGATGTAGGTAACTTATTGTCCAGACTGTATGAGAGCATGCAAATATGATACAGAAGCTGTAGTTACAGGGGAAGTGGTTAAAGGTGGTGACTTCTTCAATTATGTCTTTGGTTGTCTTTTTCTTAATGAAACTGCTCATGTAAGTCCAATATAATTTAGCTGTAGGGGTACACTCATTTATAAGTATTGAGATGTACAATTGGGAATCATTTGTCATATATTTTGGGCTTATTCGTCATTAATGTTTCTTTTCTGGAAGATTTTGTATTGTTGGGTTGCGGTTGTAAAAGTTCATCGGTTTTTCTTGTTGAGTAATCGTATCTATCACTGTCTAGTGCTTTTTCTGTTTTTCATGTTTTCCAGTGGGAATGGCTTTGAATTTTGTGTTGTTTGAGACTTTGAGTTTGAACTAATAATTTCGATTTTTAAAAATCAGTTAGCTATGCTTAGATTTATAACAATTTTCATAAAATTAATTAAAAAATTATACTCAAGAGGTAAATTTTATTAGCAATTCAGGCATGACACGACAAACTCACTAGAACAAGTTTGAAATAGATAGCAAGAAAAATTTGGAAGGAATCAGTATGCAGGCCGAACAGAATTTACAGTAAATACCATACCACCGACGAAAAAGCTACCTCGTGAACCATATGTACATCATTTCTAGTTTTGCATTGGTGGGAACGGGATGGCAAGCTTTCTTTAATAACTACATTTTCTTAAGAAAATTGTCACGCTCTGAAGAAATCATCATAAACATTTCTCTATAAAAGGAGTAAATAAGGTTCTGACCTACTCGTTAGATTCTGCTGGTACACTTTGATTTCTCAATGTCGAAATCTTCTTCTGCAATTCGAGATTTGACATCCGCTCCACCTCCAATGCACGCTCAAGCTTTTTCACAAATCAAATATGTTGTTGCTTTAGAAAAACCAGAACTTGAACGATCATTAACAGATTATAAACATAAACAATAGTACCTTAGCTGCTCGTGTGCTCCATTCTCCTAAAATCGCTCTCAGCCTTTCATTCTCTTCCACATACTGTTCAGGGTTTCATAAAATAAGTGAATACAAGCATGACTGAGACAATCCCATTTCAAAGATTCTCCACGAAATAAATTCAAATCATGAAACACATCATCTAGTTCCTTGGCCTTCAACAGTTTAAAGAAACTACCATCCTAATTTTCAGCCAAAAAGAAATGAGTTTCTCCATTTTGAGCTCGAGCTCGAGAGGAGCTAATTTCGTACCATATCAGGTTAAGAAGATCTATTACCAAGGGTAAAAGTAGATTGGCTTAGCTCAAGCAAACCAAATAGAGAGGTCTATGCTGAAGGTATCCTACTACTTTATTTGTTGGCTATGCCGCAATGGGATGTTCAATGGAATGATCTGTGCAAGGTTTATTATGGAAACAATTTAAGAAATCTTAAGTATTTGATGGATAAAAATGGTCTCCATGTCTGAAGGGAAAGCTTCTTATATCAACTATTGTTCATTGTTGTTCATTGTATCTTATCTTTTCTAGGCTAAGTAGTAAACCATTTTCAATTAGCAACATTAACACCTACTACAACTAGGATTGTAAGAAAAATAGTGTGTAGTATTTTAGATTAGATGTGTCACAGAAACACCATAGGAAATACCTGATTGTTGGTATTCCGAACTCGCTGCACCTCTAATTCCCTCTCAGCTATCAGAGATCGAGCAAGCCTTAATTCAGATTGCTGCTGATTCACCTGCAATGTAAAAAATGTCAACAACTTCCGAAGATTTTATAATCAAAATTTCAGAGTTCAGAAGTGTGAATTAGATGACATCAAATGCCAAATTTCAAATGCATGCAGAAAGCAGAAAATTGTCTAGGTTCCAGGGACAAGAGTTGGGATAACTTCCGGGGCCTTCAACTGATAGATTATATCATATATGAGCACCATCAGAAGAATTTTACAAAATTATTGACACCTGCGCACCTATTTCATGACCATATGTCAAAGTCCACTTTCCACTTCACTAATAATGAGATTGCATGAAAAAGTTCAGCAGTTCATTTTTATCTCATTCATGTTTTACCAAAAGAAAAACTATTATTTCATCTTCCAGCCCCACTGTCTTTCACATGTTCGTGCAACAGCATGGGATTATTGTGCAAGAGTGTTTTTCCTCGTAAATTTGTTCTTATCAAGATTTCTTCTTGTACTTAGCAACCTTGAAATACTCACGTTAGCCCATGGAGTGACACTTTACTATAAAGAGTAGGCACTCAATAAACCCTAGATAATAAACCTACTAAGAGCTATGAACGAGGAGCCTACATATAAAAAAAAAAAAAACAAAAAAAAAAAAAACAGAAAGGCAGACAGGAAGACACGCAAGAACTATCAGCATATGAAAGCAATGTTGTTCAGAAGTATCTCTTCTACATTTTGGTGTGGAATTAAAATAAATATAATTACATTTCTATTATTTTCTTATGTTGCAACAAGTACAATCCATTGCAATATAGTACTAAATAACCATTACCTCAGCAGAAAGTGTCCGTAATTCCTGATCACGAGCTGCTAACAAATGTGCAAGATCAACCTGGAAAAAGAGCCACTCGTAACCTTTCTGTGCTCATTCATATCAAAATATTCTAATATTACAAACAAAATCTTTATCGTTTTAAAGTTCATGATCCAATATGAAGAAATGCAAAAGAGATAGCTTCCCTGCAAACTTCAGAATCAGATAATGCAATTGTTGCCACAAAGATTTGAAACAATTTGAACAATTAAAAATTTCTTAAAGTTGAACCTGCTGAATCGTAAAAGATTATAATTGTTGAGGGTAATTTGAGGCATGCTATAGTTAGGTATTTTCATTTTTATCACCTCAGTAGATGCGGATCGCTTCCTATTCAACATTTTTCAACAAATAAATGAAGATTAGTCCAGTTACAATGATTATCACCTGAGGTGTGCTTCCATCATCAGTCCGTTCATATTTGCTTAAGCACTCTTGCAACCGAAGGATCTGCATTAAACATGTGTTATTTGGATTTTTCTACATAAATATAGATATTTGTCATAGTAATATCAAGGAATGAACTGATTATGCAAATTAGTGCATCTTATTGCACACATGTTACAGTGACAAAGCCAACTGGCTTGAGTCAAGAACCATAAGGAATTGTGGATTATAAAATGGTGTGAGATACAACCATTACCAATGATATGAATAATATACCTCCTCACTCAAAAAATGAAGGTTCTCACGTTGATATTGCAACAAAGCCATATGCTGATCAGATAGTCGACCACCATCATGATACCTGTTGAACCAAAAAATTGTCAGTGTAGCATTATGTATTGCATAAGAAAAATGTTATCTTACAAAGACACCATACAGAGAGGGCTACGAGTGACATCATCCAGAACAAAAAAAACAAGAAAAAACAGAAAAAGAGAGAGAAAGAGAGAGGAGAGAGAGAAAAACATGAAAATCAAGGGTGGGGATTGTCTGTATGCCCTTTGTATGTGTCTTTGTAAAACTAGCATTGCTCATTGCATTAAATATATTTTGGTGCCTCAAGTTAACCACACATTGCATTTGAGAATAGTATACAGCAAAAAATCTCACTATTAAGAGGGAAAAAAAAATGGTGATGCATGATAATTATTTTTAACATGAAATCGTTTTCTCCATACGGCTAGAAATATAGAATGTTGGCTTTAAAAAGTTTTTATGAGTACCTCAAACCTTCCAAAGAACTGATGGTTGAAGGAGAATATAATGAATTCAAAACATCAGGCGAGAATTCAATGAATTATATGATGGACATAACCGCAGGCACCAAGACATACACATTAAGTGCTGCAGAAAAAATTATAGTGGAACATTATTCTCCAATAGCATGTTAATTTTAAGCTAAAATTATGCATATAGATGCTGGATAAAGCTCAGATGGACAATGCATCAACAATTAAACATCTATAATGGAGCAAGGTAATCCTAAAAAACAAAAAGAAAGAGCAGCTGTATTGGTGTTACATTGCAAGATGTTTATATTTCGGCAGCACAAAAGGATCCCTTGTGCAAAAACATACAAGAAATCATCTCTTTCAAAGTGCATGATCCTTTATTTTTAAAGCTCTGTGGTCCACAAACACAAGAACTTCCAGAAATTATAAAATTCACTTGATCTTCAAAGATAATCAACCATAAAAGTGGTCCAGTATTGACAAAATTCCCAGGAAATGAAATCAAGAAATCAGGGGAAATTCACAAACCTGTCATGGGTCTTTGGGAAAAACTAGAGATGAACAGAGACCTATTAACTCTAATGTTAGAGAACCATTAGACCCCATTTTTTTTTTTTTTTTTCTAAAATAGACGTTAGAAAGTCAAACAGAGCAATCAACCACATTTATGGAGACTAGAGAAATTATTATGTGCAGTGGCCTCCAACCTTGGATATTAACATGGGTCTCACAAGTGGAAATCCACCAACCAAGATGGAGGTTAGAAAGAGGAGAACCGATGACATACATCCTACTCAACCACAGCCATTCCAACACTCAAAAAAAAAAAAAAAATAAATAAATCTTCAAGCCTACACCAAAACTATCTGAAAAATAATCAGAATGCAGAAAAACATTGAAGTCTTAAGATAAGTAACTTAAAACTTCTTCAGTAGTTAGACCAAATTAAAAGATTACCAAAGGAGATAAAGTGTGATTGCGCAAAAGCCGGAGGAAAACCATGCTTGTCTTATTTGCCTTAAAAGAATATTATGAAGAAGATAACCACATACAATTAATTAAAATTATGTTTCTGGTTCATTCATCACCATGAATTTCACCAATTAAACTCAAATTTACACGTACAAAAACTCACCAATATAGACACTCATAAAAGAAGCAGCACATATTGCTTCGATCAACATAATAATCCTGCAGATAAAATGAGTACACTGAGATATAGTCAACAATACATTAGTTTCACAAAGAAACAACTGTATTCCAATGAGCACCCAGAAAAGGCAGAACCCAGTATCTTTTAATTTTGATTTAGCCCACAAGGAATATATACAGCATACTGAAACTGATGTTACTACAATCAGCAGTATTCAATGTTACAACCAGTTTTTAATAACGCTACTGAGCAATGGAAAACAGAATCCAGGATATGGAAGATTATACATCTATCCTAGAAAGAAAAAGAAAATCATAGGGATGTTTCCTGAATTGCACCTACTCTTTCCCTTTCTGATGAACTTTCAGAAGATTTCGATTTAGAGCAAAAACAAAATTATATAATGATATGAAATAGCATATGGTAACCTATATTTCAACTATATGGCTCAGATTTCATTCACAAGTGTTTGCTAAACATAAAGAAGAAACAGAAGACAGAAAGAAATGTTAAACACACACACACACACACACAAAAATAAAAAAAAGTTCAAGATGCTTAAGATTCTAGTCAGGTGAGATGAGTACCTCAGTACTGTAGAGATAGAAAGAATACTGATGTGGGGTTTCCAAACCATGACAAGTAGCATTGCAGCAGTTCCTAGCATGGATAAAAAATATTTAATACAACAGCAATAACATTTATAATTTCAAAGATAAAGAACTGCATTCGAAATACATCGACCTGCAATTGAGCTGTAAAAAAAATTATATATATACTAAACACAGGTGATATTGTTATTTTCTTTTTCAGATATCATTTACAGTAGCAAAAGCTTTTTAAGCAGAATATACATTTAGGTCAACAAGAAAAAAAGAAACAAACTAACAAATACATACCATATGCAGTAATGGCAAACGGTAGGCGAACAATATGTTTCAACTTCTGACTGAAACTATAATAACCCTGCAAAAACAGATTTTCATTTAAAGAGCTGCAAATTACATAATGTCACCTATCAACACAGAAATACCGCTGGACCTTTCCAGCCAGATTTCTATGACAAGTTCATGACTCCATCTCGAAAGGGGAATTTTTTGATTGGGCACAGATTTACATAAGATAATGTTCTTGTGGTCTAAAGAACACTATTTTTACCAATAGAATTTAAGCCTCAGCACAAAGAGCATTTCATGTTAAATAACAGCAGACGGTAGTTATTCTAATAAGATAAGGCCTAGGTATCCAGGAGAAACCAATCTCAGGGAAATTCTAAAAGATCTCCTGCACTAGAAGAAACAAAAATTCAGTCTCTTCTAATGTGTTTGTGCAGCAACGGAGGGAGAGAGAGAGAGAGAGAGAGAGAAACACTCAGATAAATAAAAATTTAAAGAAGTAAATCGATCAATTTTACCTGTAAGCGTATTTTCTGCACTTGATAAACGAAATACTGTTGAAATATGCCTGAGACAGAGAAACAATAAAAGTTAACCAGAATAAATCTCCTAAAATAGCAGCATGGCATGATATCCATCTAAGATACAATAGCACATAGATGTGAGCACATGATGTGAAACTAAGCCCAGACCAGCTGGCAGTTAATCAACAAACGAATAATGATCATGATAGAAGTATATATATTCTAAGTTCTCAAAAGTTCAATTGTACAAACTAGATTATTGGAAGATATGCTGCCTCTAGCACACTTCACATGTACCGAGGTTATCACATTGATCAGACAATTAGTCTAAATCCCATAATAGGATTTTAATACATTTTAAAGTTCATGATTTATTTTCTACATGTGAATAATTAACTCCACACTTTTACTTTTTGGTTACATTTTTGGGATATGAAGGATCAATCCAAGCATTATGTGATCAAATACTCTCCTTCTCTCCCTCCAAAAAGAACACACAATCAGGAAATTACTTTTGATGGCCAAAGATGATGACAATGATGAGTTACAGATGCACAGCATGCGCTTTAACTCTCTATTCTCCATCATTCCACAAGAATAATTCAAGAAGTCCGGACTTCAAAAATTTTATTGTCCATCCCAGGCTAACAAACTAATTTAGACCAAAAGAATGACTTAAGGTGACGAATATATGAAGGTTTTGTAATTTAAATTCACAGACAAGGTGAAAGTGGTATGTAAAATCCTGAAAAGTAGACTCCAGCATATATAAGTGTATAAAATGGTACATTGTAATATTGATTTCATAGAGATAATCACATAATATAATTTGAAAGATCAAAACAATTTTGCTAACAATTAAATAATAATAAGCGTTACGAATTCGCCAAACTCAACAATATTTTAGATATTGGCTCAATTTCATAATGTCATCCTCTTTGGTTCATCTAATAGATGAACCACTCTATTTAAAATGTGAAAATTACTTCGCAAAGATTTTGTCTTCCCTTTTTTGAATTAGAGAAAGAAACAATTCACAATAATGTTCACAAATGAAGAAAACATAATCAAGCTACTGCAACTCCACCTCTAATTCCTTTTCTTCTAAATCAATTTTTTATTATTATTATTCTTTTAATTCAAGATAGCCAGACTCCAAACATGGAAATTCTAATGCCTCATGATAACTTGACTACACCAAGTGCAGGCACTTCATCTTCTGAATCATAGTATAACATAGGACAGTGTTTCAAAAATCATGCGATAAATTCATAAGAGGCAGATGTTATATCCGAACAATTCTAATTTGAACAATGCATTCATTGGAAATGCGGATCCATATTTTACAAAAGTCTACATTCAATTAAGAAAAGCTATAGTGAAAAACCTGTGACTACCAAAAGAATAACATCACAACTGCAAAGCAATGGCGGGATCAAACTCTTTATAGGATGAAATATCCATGGAGCTCCTGCAGCCAAAACACCGTAACCTGCCTAAAGTCAAAGAACAATCAGAGCTTAACCCCTTTTTTTCAACAATAAAAATAACATGAGTATGAAGTTCAACTTACCAATACGAAAACGTAAACAATACTCCCAAAAAGACTCCTAGATTTCCGGTGACCAAACAAAGGAGCTTCATGTAGTATATCCAAAAACCTAGAGTACAATAATAGTAAATTCAAACACCAAAATCATTTTGGTATAGATTGTGCAGAAGTAAAGCATGAAATGAAACAATTCAACTACTTAAGCAGAATAATTAAACAATTAAAATAGAAACAGCCAGTGATCAACAACGAAACTCAACCAAAACATAATTCAACGCATTAATGAGGAAAAGCAGGCGAAGATTATGAATTTTAAGAGAATGTGTGAAGCAAACTGCACGATCGGAAACTTACATAGCATTATCTTCAGGAGAAGTCGGAGTCGAGGAAGCGTGTCTCTCCGTTGACATCTTCTAAGCCTATTTCGTTTTTCGTCAATTTCTTTTTGTGAATTGCTTTGGATTGAAGATTTGGAATGAGATGGAGACAGGAGAGACAGTTTAATTGCAGAGCCCGTCGTTAACCTGTTAATTAACATGAAAATATACAGTAGAACCTTGCCCACAAAAATATATTATATTTACGTAAATCCAATTAAAATAAAAATAAATTTTATAATGTAATAAGTTTTAATTTTTCTAGGTCTCGTCTTAAGAAATTTACCTCTTTATAGTAATAATTATATGTATATCACAAAAAAACATAAGTTATGTTATATTAAATGTTTAAGATGAAATAAAATATTTATCTAAAGTTGTTTAGAACAGTAATTTATAATTTAGAGTTTTTACCACAACTTTTATAAGTCACCAACATGGACACCTTTTCGTTGAAGTGAAAATATTTCTAGCTTCTCAAATATGTTTATAGTTTCTTAACATAAATTTTTTGGTATTTTCGTACTATCATCCTCAAAATTATTTATTTCCCCTTCTTGTCTAATTCTAATAATTATTTATTCTTCGGTTAAAACATACACAGCTTGTTGCTCATTTGGATGATTGAGGAAGAAATTAATGTCTATTTAATTAGTGTAGTAAAGTTGTCAAATCTGTTCACTCAATTAATTTGTACTACTGAAACATGAATTATAAAATCAAAAATCAAAACAATAATTCTTATAACTACACCTCTATTAAGTTATAATCTTCTCATAATAATAAATTTAGATAGTTCTAACATTATGACTATAGAGAGATTCTATTGTATATATTTAAAAGGGACTTTTAGTTACGATTCTTAAACCCTGGAAGGAAAGAAAAATTTGACATGACCTCCCTTCACATTTGAAGAATTTAACGATAATGCTCTTCAGCGTCATTAGTTAACAGAATTTCGTTATCTAATGTATTTTTTGGCCCCTCATGAGACCGATTAATATCTAATTCATGCATTTCATTTTAAAAGTATAAAAAATGTTCCTACTGTTAGTGATACAATAAAACCTCTCTATTATCATAATATTGGGACTAACTAATTTTATTATTATAAAGAGGTTATAACTTAATGGAGGTGTAGTTACAAAAATTATAGTTTTGATTTTTGATTTTATAATTCATGTTTTAGTAGTACAGTATTAGGATTTCAATTCATATTTTAATAATATTAGAATTTCAATACAGCATTTCAATTGTCTACTTTTGAAATGGATAAAAGATCATTTCTTAGAACCAGCAAAAGTAAGTGTCATTAATGGAATTGTAAATATAGTTGATGCATGGTTAATTGATGTGAAGTCATAGACAATTGTCAATGGTTTTAAGCGCTGCAAAATAAAGACCACTAATGTCAATGAATTGTAAGTTACAAATAAAGTGGATGAGGAGAATAAAAGAGTTACTATAGAATTGAGTAATTAGATTCGACAAATTCACTACACTAATCGAATGGATATTAATGTCTTCTTCGATTATCCAAATGAGCAACAAATTATATATTCTTTAACCAAAGGAGAAATCATTATTGCAATTAACAAGAAGAGAAAGGAAATAATCCTAAGGATAATAGTACGGAAATACAAAAAGTATTGTGTCATGAAGCTCTAAACATGCTTGAGAAGCTAAAAATATTTTGGCTTCAACAAAAAAGTATCTATGCTAACGAGTTATTACGTACTCGTAAGGTAAAAGATGTGATAATAACTCTAAAACATAAATCATTATCCCAAACAATTTTAAATATATATTTTATTTCATTTTAAACCTTTAATTTTACATAATATTTTTTTTTTGTAATATACAGATAATTATTGCAATGTAGAGGCAACTTTCTTAAGGCGAGAATTAGAAAAATTATAACTTATTACAATGTAGAGTTTATTCTTATTTATAATTATCCCAAATTGGGACTAGAATTTTTTATGACTATATAAAGTTTATACCTATATAGAGTATCACTATAGAGAGATTTTACTGTATTAGGTTTCATCCAATTTTAAAATTAAAAGTCTATTTTACCCCAACCCATCACATATCAACTTAACAAATTTTTTAAATCTTTATTCAATAAATATCTAAATCCACAAAATCATCCTTGAACTTACAATTATACAATCCTAAGCAAGGTTGCACATTTAGTTGAATTTTAGATAAAAGAAAATGTATAATAATTGTGCTTTTAAAGTGATAAAGTTGTGAAAAACGAGATTAATATGAATGAAATAATTTATACTTAATTAAATAAATAAGAGATGTTGAAATATTGATTTATCAACTATAGTAATAATTATATTTTAATTAAAACATAAAAAAATTTATACGTTATTAAAACTAGCCATGTAAAAAGGAAAAAAAAAACTAGATGTGTTATTGTCCACCACACCCCCTGAAACAAAAAACCCTGCCAGCCCCTATGAATTTCAGAAACTACAATGGAGACCTCTTACCGTCTCTTTTGGCCGTTAAATTGGATGAAGGGAAAGCCAAAATGGGCATTTTATATTAAACCTAATATTGAGTAAATCTGGTTCGAACCTTAGTTCTCAAAATCCCTACATATGGGAATCCACTCAACTACACAACTTTTCATGGTTTTAAAAAGGATACAAAACATATTTAAAAGCAAAACTAATAAAAAAACCCCAAATTGCAAAAGTCCTAACTTATCAACTCCTCTCCGATTATCAAATGAACAAAACCAAAAACTCAATCCTAAATCAAATGCAAAATCAAAAATCAAATGATGTTTCAATGGTTTACGGTTAGAGACAAGTGGCCTTTGGTAATTACGGTTGTTCACAAAACTCCGTAAACCGAACCAAATCGAAAAATTGGTTTTCTGATGAAACCAGTTTGGTTTCGGTTCAAGAATTTCTTTTAACCGAATTTCTGGTTTGGTTATTGGTTTAGTAGATTCTGAGAATTGGTTAACTGAAATTGCTTTTTAAAACCGGTTTTGCAATAAAAATTAAAATGTCCAAAAGGGACAAAAGGTTTAAAACCGGTTCAAAATCAGTTAACCAGTTTATAGGAACCGATTAATCGGTTTAGTGAATTTTTTTTTTTTTTTTTAAAGTTTTGGTGTACATTTTTACACTATTCTGGAGGGAAACCGGTTAACCAGAAAAATGGTTCGATTCAAAACCAATTTTCCCCTAGAACTTGGTTCGGAACCGATTAGTTAAAAAAAAGGGCATTCGGACCGATTAACCAGTTTTGAATACCCATACTGGTAATGTGTCGCAGTATTGACTGACATGGTGGTCTGGTAGTATGGCATAATAGGTCGACATATAACTTTAAAGCCATTCGCGAATGGCCATGCTTTGTTTGGTAGTTGTCAACAAAGTGCTAGCAATTTGGCTTACTAAAAACACATGTTGCTTGTCGGGGAACAAGGGTGAAGTCGCCGATCTACTTTTGCGGTTTGACATTAAATTTTTTGTTTTCTAATTTGATTTGTAATTGAGGGTGTTTTTGGATTTTTATTTTGTAATTAGAGGTGTTTTGTAATTTCCTTATATAATTTTACAAAATAAGAATATAATTTACTTAAATAGATTTTTTAGAGGGGTAAAATGGTGAACTGATCGTAAATCTATGTACAAATATATAAAATTCGATGGCCAATAACAACCAAACTATCAATTTAACGGGAAAAAGAAACAGCAGGGGGTCTCTATGTAGTTTCTGAAGTTCGTGGGGGCTGCATTAGTTTTTTTCAGGAGGTGTATTGATAGTAACCCTAACTAGGTAGTCTGCAATAATTATTTAATGAATTTTATTGTAATCAAATCTTTTGAAATTTATATTATGAGATAAACAAAGGGTAGATCATTTATAATCAACCTTAAAAATAATTTTAATTAAGACAACATCAAAATAATGGTATTTAGGTAAAACTATATATATATTTTTTTGTTGGTTAAAAATAATTAAAATAAAGTTATTTTTAAATGATTTATGAAAATAATGGGGAATAAAAAATATTAAAATTTTAATTTGCTATTTTTTTTTTTTTTTTGGATAAACCCGGTAAATATATTGAGAAAAAGAAAACTACAAGGAAAGGGAAAAACCCTTAGAGTTTGTTTGGGAGTTTTTTTCTACTGGTTTTGAGGGGTTTTTAATTAGACTAGTTTTGAGGTGTTTTTAAACCATTACTTGCCAGATTTTTTATGCACTGGTTTTGACTGGCTCAAAAAGCCCCCAAAACCAGTGTAGTGTATTTTTTAGGGGTTTATAAAACACCCAAATCGGGGTGTTTTGGTTGGTTTTAAAATTGTATTCCACAAATACCTTATCCACTATAAAACTATCCCAATTACATCAAAAAAAAAAAAAAAAAAAATATTAATCATATTATGCAAGTCTTCAACCATATTAAATATAAAACAATTTTAAACAATCATAAAAAATAAAAAAAAGTTATTAAAATCTCATTTCTAGATGCTTTCTTAGAGAAGTAGAGTTACAATTTTTCAATCATTTCAGATGCTGCAAAGAATGGCGAAGAATGATAAGAAAACTTTATCACTTTTGAAGTTATAAAATACTAATAAGTATAAAACAAATAAAGAACTCTTATCTTATAATTGAAAAAACAAAACTCCAAAATACTAGTTAGAGTTAGGGTATTTTTATGGACATATATGTAAATTTATCATTTTAAAAAACTGTTAGAACTGCTAGAAAATAAACTCTCAAATACAGGTTGAGTGTTTTAAAAACCACTACTAAAAAACTCCTCAAAACCGCTACGATGGTTTACCTTCAAAACCACTATAGTGGTTTATCCTCATAATCGTTACCATGAAACTCCCAAGCAGACCCTTAAACTTGCAAACCCTTGGATAGACCCGAGGGGCAAAGGCAACACACAAATCGACTAAACAACAGCTAAATGCATAGCCCAAACAGACCCAGGCCTGTACAAAAGAAGATGATATATACACACAAAAAATCAAGGCAGACACCCAAAAAAAGAAGGGCA